TGGGAAGGTCTTAAAAGGGGAACGAAGACAAAGGAAGGGGCTTGGGCTGCCGACTTCGAAAGGGACCGGTCAGGGAGGTCATTGGGACGACAGCGACGAGCGGCTCGCAGACGACGTGAGTTTGAGTAAACACTTTTGAACACGCACTGTGTCGGTGACTTCTTGGGGAGCGAGCGAGGCACGTCCCGATCGGGCGTCGATCAGGTAGCGACCCACAACTTAATGCTTGCCAGTCGCTAATTGCTAGCTATCGCGACAATGGTTCGCCACTTCCCTATAAAAGGCAGAAAATGTGAACGACATGATTAAGCCTTTCTCCTGCGTTCTTCCACTCTTGGTACTGTTTTTGGGAAACCGGTGGGCGAGTGGGGGCTAGCGCACAGCAGCTCGAAGCACGTGGAGCGAAAGCTCGCTCTGCACAACCCAGGGATCCTGGGTTCAATCCTCACCCCTGCCCATTTCGATCTGTATGAGCATCGTATCGGCGTGCGGTCGTGTATCACTACCGCGTGGTGCATGTTAAAGACCCCAGGCTAGTAGTTGCACGGCACTGGCTCAATTGCTCATCTACAACTGAGACACCAGACGCCCACTAATTAGCAGACTAACTTCAGGCTGTATAAACATACGGGAGGTGATGAAAACGTTCCAGGACTTTTTGAATTGCGCCCCAACCAAGTGTCGGATAGCGGCAACATTGGCAACGTTAGTTGTTACTCTTCGTGAGCTCAGCTGTTGTTGTAGATTCTCTATGCAGAAAGCAAGTCGTCTGCCTTTGCACAGGTGTTGCTCTGATGTCAGAACGACCCGAGCTCTGATTGGCTTCGATTGAAAGGATAGGGATTGAACGGATACCAGATGCCTTGAGGTCTACCCATTATTCTTTTTCAATCGGCTAAGATGAGGTCGGCGCACTGACATCATTGCAACTTCTGTGCAAGAAGAAGCATACGAGCTTGCGCTTCGCATAACATTCTTTGTTGTGAGGTAACAGACGCTTTTGTGAAACAAGTTTTCTGTTTTTAGCTATTTGGCGATCTTTTTTTGAAATGAAACAAAAAGAAGAGCAAACCGTTTGCTTCACGTTTTGCGTAAAGTTGGGTAAAACTTTGACAAACTTTTTAGATGTTACAAAAGGATTTTAAGGATGAATGTCTCAGTCGATCACGGTGTAATGAGTGGTACAAGATGTTCAAAGAAGGCGGACATCGTCAGAAGACAATCCTATTTCAGGACGCTCATCAACTTGGATTAACGACGATCATGTTGCCAGAGTGAACGTTCCCGTGTGATCAAATCGTCAACTAAGCATCCGTGAGATGGCAGAGGAATGCGACATTCCATTTGGCTTATGTCGACCATTTTTAACTGAAGTGCAGATTCGCCGAGTAGTGGCAAAGTTTGTCCCGAGACTTTTGACCGAGGAGCAAAAATAACACCGAGTTCAGGCTTGTCAGGAACGTCTTGAAATGACAAATGATAATGAAAACTTCTTGAGACTTGTCATTACTGGGGACGAGACGCGAGTTTATTGGTACGACGTGGAAACAAAAGTCAAATCATCGCAGAGGAAGACAAAATCCTCTCCAACACCGAAAGAAGCTTTTCAAGTGAAATCAGATGTCAAGATCATGCTCACTTTTTTCTTGAACTGGAATGGTGTGGTCTACTACAAAGTTCTTCCACGAGGTGAGACAATCGTTTTCGCTACCTTGAAACCCCTATACATTTGCGCGAGGTTGTTAGAAGGAAGGGCATTGCCTGAGCTGTGGCGAAGTGAGGAGTGGGTACTGCACCATGGCAACGCGCCTGTTCATTCGGCGTTGCTCATTTGCGATTATTGCACAAACAACGCCATGACCTACATCCCCCTAGGGTGCCTTTGCTTAGGGTGGAGACATCTGGCCTTTTTGTTCCCACTTTTACATTTATTTTTTGTTCAGAAGCGCGTGAAAGCGGGTCCCTGCACGCGTCTGTGGCGCTGACTGTGCTATGGCGACATTTTGTTTTCGTCGATTTCTTTATATTTTCCCCGTGAGCGCGTGCTGTCGGCATAGGGTACTACAAAGAATGGCATCACTCTAAACAGAAGGACATTGAGGCACCCTACATCCCCCAGCCCCTGTACTTACCAAACATGACCTGCGGACTTTTTCCAGTTTCAATACGCCAAATGACCTTTGAAATGGCTGAGATATGACTCAACTAACGAAAAAAATAAAAGAAATAAAGACGTTTACAATTTTTTCTAATGCCGAATTGGAGCGCAGCTCTTCAGGAGGATGAGGAGAGGGTACGGTCACTAGTGACGTCACGTGCGAGTTATGATGGGAAATGTCCCGCTAACTTTAGCTGAAAATGTTTACCCTCGTGACGTCACATCGAAGCGACGGCGATGCACCTGCGTTCGGAGCCCTCCTGCGCGTGACTCAAAGAGGAGCCGGCCGCCCAGGCTGTTGCCGTATAGTCTAATCTCTGCCGAAATTTCGTGCTTATATCGATGGTACATATATAGCGTCGACTTGGACTTTGCCGTTCCTACCCACCGAGCTACCTCCTCCTCTCTCACCCTTTTTCGTACATTCTCCAGTTCCCACTTCCTTTCTGGTGAGGTGAGGTGGCGCCCCTGGTGGTGGTTGCGTGAAGCAGACGCAACGACGTCAAAACATGGAGAAGCCAGATATTGGGCAGGCATTACCACGGTATTTGCGTTTATTTTTTAAAATTCAAACGACTCCTTTCTTTTTTCCCCTTACTGTCTAATTTCTAACCCTCCACTCCCCCCCATTCCCTTTACCCCACCCCTCTTCAGCGCCACGCCGCCGCCGATCCGTTGACCCCCGCGCCGTTCACGCGCCACCGCCGGTGGTGCATAAAGCCCCTTGATAAAGGCCTTTTTTACAAGTACCGCCAACCATTGTTGTGGAAACGCGCGAGACACGTGCCGCGAGCGCGTGCTCCGCCGCCATTCGCTTCCAAGGGCCGCTCATTTCAGTGCTGCACCGCCATTTGCTTCCAAGGGCCGCTCGAGACATGGGCCTCGTGCGCTCGCGCATTTGACGCTACTTGCAAGACAGGTAAACACATCGAGGGGCTTTAGTGGTGCAAACACAGGCGCGCCGCCGCCGGCGATTTCTGATTGGCGCACAGGTCTATTACCGAGATATACCGAGATACGTAGCCCCTGCAACAGGCGTTGACGAGCCCCTACAAAGTCCGATGTTGGGGTGAATGACAGTAGAATCTAAAATGACATTAACCCGGCCTGCTATGGCAATAATAAACGGAATAAGAGAAAACAAAAACTGAAGGTCCCTTAGGCGGCACCCATGCACTGCTGCTGCAAAGCGTCTACACTTGGTGACAACTTTTGGCAATGAAGTCAAAGCTATGCGGACAGCAAGTCGTCTGCTTCTTGCGCGTGAGTTACGGTGACGTCAAAAAGACACAAAGTTATGATTGGCTTTGATTGAAATGATAGTGGGTAGACTTCAAAGCGAGATGCCTTGAGGTCTACTCACTTTTTGTTTTCAACCAGCCAATAAGGGCTCGGCGTTCTGACGTCATGGTAATTCTCGTGCAAGAAACAGGCGGACTTACACTCCGCATGGGTTCCCGTGCACTCGCGCACATGAAGCGCCGATCACAGCTGTGCTCGCGCGGTCTTCACTGCTTCAGAAATGCCAAAAATCAAACTGCAAGGCATTTCTCCTCGCTTCCTCGCTGTTGTGTCCTCCCTGTTGTGCCCTCCTTGTTGTGTCCTCCCTGTTTTGCTTTCCGCAGCTACAGCGATAGCCTTAACGACAGCCAGCAGAGCGTGTAAGTGGCTGTTAGGACTCAAGTGATGGGCACGCTCCAAGCGTCTATCCAAAGGCAGAAAAGTAGGGTAACTCTCCTCCCAGTAAAAAAACAGCAAAAAAAGAACATTTTAAGAGATTCAGAACCGGATAAAAGCATCCACTTCTGTTCTGATAAAGCAAATACTTTGAATGCGCAAAACGTGTCCTGTTTGGACAGCCCTTCAATCTACACTAATCGTTAACTTTTCGCGTGCAGGTGCATTGGTGGATGCCATGTACCTTCAGTAGACAGATAGCGTTATGTATGTACTCAATGAGCCATTTAATACCGGATGAATTTGACAGTCACCTATGCGAGAATCTGGCAAAAACTGTAGATCCCCGGGCAGGCTAAATCGCTGCGTTGTTCACAGTCCAGCCGCGATTTTGTCATGGAGTGAGGAGCATTACCCTGTGCGGGCTGCTCCACTGAGCACTATATCATGGACATCATGGAGTATCTCTTAGGCTGCCCACTTGATAGCAATTCCATGAGATAAGGGACAGTGCCCGTGTTTCGTATACGTTTGGTGAGCAGTGTAAGAACAGGGAAGCTGTTTTAAATGAATAGATCGATGCAAAATTAAAAATAAAATAAATATCCATGAATTTTTAGTGGTTAGGCGACAAAAGTATCACCTATCGTAATAATGAATAAATCGATTGTCGTAGAAATCGATTCGATATTCTATGATATTATATACTCAAGGTTAAAAATTAGGTTCCATGTAGGGTTTTTTAATTGACATAATTCTGCCTACCATTTGTTATGAGCTGCCTGGCGCGTGCGAAAAACGAGTATTCCAAGCACTAGTTTCACAGTATGTTATAATGAGTGTACATCAACCTATAAGCTGCGTAGCGCTGACATCGAACAAAATATGACGGATTGACGCTATTTGCATATACCATATAGAAATAGTGTGGCACCAATGCAATTGCCTTTGGAAACGCAACCTAGAAAAGATTGCAAAGCAGCTATGGCTGATCTGATTTTGTAATTTTTATTTATCCACGTATAGCATAAATTCCCTGGACCGTTTCCCTTTTTTGGGGGTTGACGAATGAGCAGCACAATGCACATGTGCATTCAAAGTTTGTTTCCAAGGAGGATGCACTGTTATTTGTCGCAGAACGTGCCAGAGCCCTAGCTCCCCCAAATTAAGCATCCACGATGTCTAGCGTCAGGTGCCTCAAGGTTTTGCAAACAGCAGGAAAAGAGGTGGTTACGCTGTGATGCACCTGCTCTCCACAGGGCAGCCAGAATAACTTGGCGTCCTTCAGCCGCCACCACTGCTCTTCCAAGTTCCTAATGTGTTGCGGTGACAGGCATGTGTTCAGCAAAATAAATTTCTTGAACATGAAGAGTTCTCGGAGCATGGTGTCCAAGGACGACTGAGACGAACAAAAGATATTGATGTCAAGCCGCGTGTGGCCACGTTTGGAACGATCCAAAATATCCACGATGGAAGTGAGTTGGCGGATGGTTTCCTTCGCGCCTCCGACCGCGTGCACCTGAGCGCTGACGAGTCTTGGCATCTTGGCAATTAAAGGAAGGATCGGAAGGAGGCCTGATATGCCGTAGATGGAAATCTCTTCCAGGTTTATGCAGGCAGGCAGCTTCCTGAGAGCCGCATCGTTCAACAGCGCGGCCGAAATTGTGATTTGGCGCAGTGTGCCCTTGCAGGAGTGAACAAGCTGCGTCAGATGATCCTCTTTGAGCTGCAACTCCGGAACGTCGAACTGCTCCAACCTGGGTGGCAGCTGGAAGTCGGCGTTGAACCAACCGTCCCCGCAGTCGCTACTCACGCTAAGGGACTTGAGTGTCCGGAAGCCCCGGAGGGACTGGGCCACCGACACCTGGTTCTCGTTCCAGATGTTACCTATCACCAAGCTTTCCAAAGTAGGGCAGCTCTTGGACGCGTGAAGCAGCGATCCTGTCGAGATCCGGCTTACCGAAAGGCATTTCAGGAACTTGAGCCTCGCCAGACATTCCCAAGTGTCCCTTCTCGATATGTGATCCGAGTTGAGCGCGAGGTATTCGAGCGTTGGGCAGCTCAAACTTATTTGTCGCAGAACGTCGTCGTGTATCTTGAGTTCGTCCGTTGTAATCAGAAATTTCAGGCGAGGTAACTGTTCCAGGGTAAGAACGTCGTTGGGCAGAAGGATGTTCTGCCCACTTAAAGATAGCTTTGAAAGGCTCACTGAATTTGCGAAGATCGTAGGTATGGCGTGGTGAGACAGTGCTCGACCCGGAAGAAACAGCTCCGTCAGCAGCTTGAAGTGATGCGAGCAGGAGGCGACTGTCTCAAGATCCACGGAGCCAGACGACACATCCAGCTGTCTGATTAATAAAGCTCTGTCGAGCACTTCCCGCGTGTACTGTTTGCTGTGGTTTGCTCTGGAGTCGATGGAAATCTCCGTCCAGAGAGAAGGGTCGAAAGCCAGCTGCTTCCATGTCTCCGATACCTTGGCGATTATGGTCAGTTGGTGTTGCGTAAGGTAGGAGAATATCCTGAGGATAAGCTCTGCAGGCAGATTTGTTAATTCCATCGTTGAGCGTCACAGTCGTCCTTTTCGCAGTTATCTTCCAATGCAGGCACTTTGCACGAGCCGTGATCTTCTTCTTTATTGAAGATTTTTGGTGGCTAACCTGCGACATCACGGACTGAAGATTAAACCAACCATATGTTCTGTTTTCAGTAAAGCGAAACTTGTGGAGTTCACAAAAGACCATCAACGTAAATTTGCTGTTAATATTTTTGCAACCAGCTTATTAGACTGCGATATATCGCCTTAGGGATTACATTCTTGGTTCTCTACACTTCTTTTACGGCCGCACGTCGGTGCGATGCTCATCCAGAAAGAAAACAAGGTAAGAGTGGCAGGAGATCCCCAGTCTCGCGCTTCTCGCGGTTTCAACAGTCTCGAGTTCACGAGATACAGCCGCAGGAGTTCGGTCGCCCAGAGGAAACGAACGGACCGCCGGTTTGATACTTTACAGTACGCCAGAGGGCATCGACGCAATTCAAGATCCCATTCGCTGCAAGGGCAAGGCTGCCGAGGTTTTTGTGGACGCTTTTTCAGGAAGGTAAGCATAGTTTCCTGGTGAAACGAGCGACGAAGGTTTATTTAAGATTCTTGCCGATATTAACAAGGTCGAAATGTTTGTAGGGTTGGAGTCGTCTGACACGCAAATCTTGGAGAACATTCTTAGTATCAAGGTTTAGCATTTCTGGTCGAGATAACTGGGTATAGCTTTATGAGAAAACCGTGTTTTTCGTCCCGTGTGAATAAACATTGCATTGCAGAAACTTGGAACTACGTTAGAATATGTTGCCAGCGGTATTTATAGAATGCGCTTGTCTAAAGGCGTTCTGATTTACGGGATGTGTGCTTGGTTTCATCGATGCGGTGTTGTGCGCGGGTGCGTTATTGGACCCAGATGCGGCCGTGCACTTGAGCGTGAGCAGCACTGAGCAGGCTCTGAGCCTTTTATACTGGGAGAGTTCGGCGGGTGGGAGGGGCTTACGGCCCGCTAGGTCTAGCGGACTCAGCGGGCGCCGCTTCCGCCATGATGTGCCTCCCGGCGAGTGGGTCCCCATTGGCATGCGGTATATACGTGTAGGTTTGCGCTTTTGTTGGCGTAAGGAGAAAGTCGAAAAATCAAGCATTTTGTTACGTTAATCATACGTTAATCATAAATTTACCTCGCACAATCGAGAACTCGGCTTCCAGTCAGCCCTTCCTGGTTTCCCAGATCTTGTGCCTTGCGCGGTTTTCTTTTCCTTGCGGGAACCGGTACATCCTGAACCCCTTTTTCGCGCTGTTCGAGCACCCAACGGCACTGCAGCCCCCCATTTCTTTTTCATCTAACGTCTGGCAGAGCGCAGCGCAGAACGATCATTTTCATCGTCGTCTCTCGCTCCATGGACTCTAGTGAGCCGACTGCCGGCTCGAGTCAGTAGGGCAAACGGGTTTTATCAGCCGCCACCAGCCTTACACGAACATGGGTGAAGCTTGCAATTTAAGGTTATAATTATAATGCAATTAAATGCAAAGGTGCAATCAAGCTAGACGGCAAGGCACATCATGGCGGATGCGCACAGTTGCTAGACTGTTTGATCAGTGCTGCCAGACTAGCGGCTGGATCAAAGAACCGCCGAACTCTCCCAGTATAAAAGGCTCTGAGCAGGCTGGGCCGCGAAAAGGGCAGGCGATGGAAAAAAAGAGAAAAAAGAAGTTTCGGTCGGGAGAGAAGGACGGCGTTGGGACCGATCTATGTCAGCCTCGAGTGATCGGCGATAGAGCTACAACTTCAGACATGGAGACCGCCTTCGGACCGTTTGGGCGAGTCCCGAGTGATCGCCGAAAGAGCTACAAGTTCACGCAGAGTGCCAGTCCTGGAACTGACTTGACGACCTCCATACCAACCAGCCGTAGAGCATCGGCGGACACCAACTGTGAGTGCGCCGAACCGAACACATGACCCAACCCGCGGCAGCATGCTCTGCGTAGTTTATCACAGTCCAGAAAATAGTATGAGGTTACTTTCGTAGCTTGGGCGGAGTGTGATAGCTGTGCTGACATAAACAGAGACTAATTAGCGATTTTTGGTAGCTGTCTCACTTCCGCGACGAATCCCAGTAACTCTGTCTGCGCGCCTCAACAACGAGGGTCGTCACAACTTAAAGGGGCCAAGAAACGAATTTTGGCTTGGGATGAATGATTTTAAATTGTGACTTTACTAATCGCATATCATTTAGTTGGCCAAAAGAAAGAGGCTAGAAAGTCAAAAGCCAGCTTTTCGGTACGAACATTTGAAAATATATCGGACTATTTTGTACCTTCTTGCCTTCGGAAGCTCTCCGCCTTTTCACTATGATGCATCCGCGGTTCCAAAAGCGCGTCACCGGCGCCAAACTGACGTCAGCAGAGCCCAGCTCACGCATTGGACACGAGAACTGCGTCACTCGGACGTATGCGCTCGTCAACAATCAATCCGTCGACGAATATTTGGATTCGCGTTCGTGGCCAATGAGTGCCCTGACGGAACTTATTGTCACTGGGGAATGGCAAGTTCTATGGTGTGCGTAAAAAGCACGGTGGAAGCTAGGAGTCATCGCACCGGTGCCGAAGGAATGTCACGACCACGTGATTTCACAATTCGCATTTGAGTTGAGGATTAAAGCTAGGGAGGTAGAAGTAGGAAAATCGTTTCATGTCCCCTTTAACGTTACATAAAATTGCCTTTTTGTTTCCTGAGTTGACGTTTATCTAAGACTATCAAGTCTAACCGAGAAATGCCACAGTGGGCGCCTGTTGCGTTAATTTTAGTGCCAACAAATCCTGCTAGCAAGAAAGAAGACAATATCTTTTTTTGCTTCCAAGTGGTTTTCATTGATATGAATGCCACATGCGTCCACAATATAATTTCTTGTTTTGACAAGAGGTGGTACTAACTGGCGGCCATATTTGAGCTCGCCGCTGCTGAGCACGTGTTAACGGCAAGCTTCTACAACGCTTCCAACACGCACATTGCACACCGTCATGATTGTCTCCCTTTGGGAGACCATAAATAAGAACTCATCACGAGTATGCGCTGCAAGCAGTCACCTCAAATATGGCGTTCAGTCAATACCATTTATGTTAGGGTTAGGTGGACGTCTGCCCATAAAGATATTTCGTCGTTCTTTTTATTTTTTGTTAGAAGAACGTCATCTCAAACTTTTGCGTTCTATCTCCACCGCTTTTGTCACATTCTCACGGAGTTCCATCTTTTTATTTAGTCTATTTATGCGGGCTGAAAAACACGGTTCCCTTTCCTCCCAAACATCCCATGTGCCTATTCAGGAGAGCCACGGCTCCACGGAGGGGCAACCGTCCGTACAATTTCTTGCACACGAAGCTGTCCTTCAGTAATAGGAAAGGAGGGTCTAAACCCAACAGGAAAAGGGGTTCCGGAGAAATCCGGGGGAGAGGAGGGACGTCAACGGTCACGGGAACGTGACGTTTTACGGCTTCCGCTTTGCGGTCCAAAGTTCAAAATATCCGTCATTCCGCGGCCCTGGAGGAAGCCGCAAAACGCCGGAGATCCCTCGCGGCCAAGCAGGGGAGGGCGGTCCACTTTTCTCGCCCTCCTCTAAACGTTTTAAAGTTTTAAAACATTTTTTTATTGTCGGTGTCAGGTTAAGAGTTGATTCCCCGTTTAAAGCGCGAGCCTTTTGCCTTTGATATCGCTTCGTCGTACACGCAGCTAAATCAGGCGACGAGCTCGTGGTGAAGGCGGAGCGGGGCTTCTACTTAATTCTTAGACTGTCGCCGACTATGTCTCACTGTGGTGATGTTAAAAGAGAGTTGTAATGCTGCCATCGGTAAAAAAAAAAAAAAGAAATAAGTCCTAAAAAGCCCTTATTCGGATCTTTGTACAGATCATTGTAGTGCATGTAGTTCTGAACTTAGGGAATGTTATTTAAATTTAGGGATGTCGCGAAACACCCTAGGTTCGATTTCGAAAGGTTTCGATATTTGCGAAACGAACTGAGGTTCGATTTCGAAAAATTTCGATATTTTCGTACCGACCGAGGTTCGAATTCGAAAAATTCGCAACTTTTGATCGCAGCGGAGTTTCGACTTCGAAAATTTCGAAGCTTTCACGATTTCTAAAATTTCGAATTCGAATATTTCGAATATTGCTTTCCTTCAGGTTCGATAAATTCGAAGATTTCGAAATTCTTTGGGAAAAAAATTCGAAAACTTCGAACGCTTCGAATTTTTATAGACATGAAGTTCGAACAATTCGAAGATTTCGAATTTCTTTCTGCATAAAGTTCGAAAAGTTCGAAAGTTTCGATTATCTTTTAACGCTAAACTAAAAAAAAAAAAAAAACTTTGAAGATTTTGAATTTTTTTTTAATCCAACTTTTCAAAGTTCGAAGTCCGATTTTCAAGTTTTCCCACAGTTTCAGTTTCAAATAACGTTTTCACGACTCACTGGTTTTCACAAAATCAAGTTTAGAAAAGTTAGGGTGTGATATCTAGATTCTGCTAAGTTGGTTAGGCAATGAAATGAGACGACGAGTGTCCCGGATGTGCTGGAATATTTGCCAGTGCAGAATTGTGGCCGCCAGCCCCGGGGGGGGGCGGGGGGGGGTTTAACCTGCATCACGAAGTTGTGATTACACGAACACACTGTTTTACGAGACTCATCCAGTTCGAAACGGCCAGGGGCGAGCAGGAGGTTGAGGCTCAGAAAAACCTTGAAGCGACCTGGCAAACCTGCTCGCCACCCCTTGCACGCTGGTAGTAATCCGATCCGGTGAAGTTTATAATTGTCCTGGAGGTTTATTTTCTGGGACGGAGGAATCGCCTCGCAAAAAGCACGAAAACGAAGAGGAAAAAGAGGGTAGCGGGGGGGGGGGGGGGGGGGGGGGGGGGGCTTCAGCCTCCTTCTTTACCTTGCAGGTATTTCGGAGTGTTAAAAAAAGCAATACGGGGAAAGAGGGCGTGGTCGAGCTTATTTTAATCTGAAATTATTTATGCATATGTATAGCTACTGTCGCTCTTCACTGCATAAAAGGTTGCGTAGATGATCATTGTTAGAAACTCGTTGTCGGAAGGCACTACTCGTCACATGCTTAGTGGTTCGGAAGTTCAAAGCTGTCTTTTCGACCTAAATTCCTGTGCCGATAGTAACAAAAAAAAAGAGAGAAAAAAAAAAGAAAGAATAAATGCGGGAATAAAAAGCAGGAGGAAAAAAAAAAACTATCAAGGATTCGTCGGAAGTGTTCTATTCTTGCATATTCAGACATTCAGAACTTCGAAACAAGTTTCTTTTACCAAGATCTGTCCAGGCTAAAAGAAACACGTCCCAAAAACCTGAAGCGAAAAAAAAAAAAAAAAGTTTTCTTTTAATGACGTGCCGAACTTGAACACTATTAGAAATCTTCTCCCATGAGTTAATTTCTTCCTTAACGTGAAAAAACAATAAATATATTATTTTGTATTCTGCAGATGGCAATGATATGTACTGTCTGTGGTGTTAATTTAAATGCGATACCTCAAACAACTTAGACAAAAATAAATATCAAGTTTAGGGCATAATTGCATGTAGATACATGTTTGGACATTTCTTCGAAACTCACGTTGAATAACAATAATCACATCTTAAGACGGCACTTACCTAGGCTATACATAGATCATTCTTAAAAAAGTATAACATATGTACCATAAATAGCTCCGGCTGCAGCGTGCTTCAAATCTGGCACAAGCGATAATCGTCAAAAGCCCGTCGTCTTTCCTCGCCCCTTCGGGGATTTATTTCTTTAAACCTAAGCATGCCAGAACATTGAAATAAACGACATTGTCTTTCGTAAGGAACGCAGCACCGCGTGTAAAAGTTCGAGAAAAAAAAAAATACGAATGTACCCCACTACTTGAAATCAAATGAAACCGTCCGCCGGTCTTTCGAAGTTCGACGAACGTCGAACTTTTACCCTAAAAGTTCGAAGTTCGTCGAACTTCTGACTTTTCAGAATTCAAAAGTTCGAAACTTTTCGAATTCTCTTGACAAATAAGTTCGAAAGTTCGAAATTTATCGAATTTTTTGGTCAGTCAAGTTCGAAAGTTCGACAAGCATCGAACCTTGCAGCGCAATAAGTTCGAAAGTTCGAGAAAGATCGAATTTTTTAGCGTAATAAGTTCGACGGTTCGAAAAGCGTCGAACTTCTTAGCTTAACAAGTTCGAAAATTCGACCTCCGTCGAATTTCACGATATAGACAATTCGAAAAATCGAAATCTTTCGAACCTCTCGAACCGCTTGATTCGATCATCGAAACTTCGATTCGAAAAAAGTTCGCGGCATCCCTATTTAAATTACACGCAGAAAATCGCATCATGACCTGGCATCATAGGAAGAATTTAAACACGCATATTCACAAATATGTCGCTCAGATGTGCTTTAATGGACAATACCACCCTCGAAACACCACTCCAAGTGTACAAAGTGTCCACACAAAAACATTACGGGTTTTTTCTCACCGGAATAAATAAGGTATATGCATTGTCGAACGCTATTTTCCGCCTAAATGTAACGCTAGCTGTCTTAACCAGATGTCTAGGTTATAGAACTAAGCGGTATCTTATTCAGAAGTTATGAGCTATTTTTGAAAACTTGCAATGCCGACAAAGTTCATAAGTACACAAGGTTGAATGGCGCAAGCTATCGAGAACGGGCCCCATTTTCCCATAGAAAATGGCAGTAAATCACGTAACTTTTGAGCAAGAGAACAGTTAGTGGTGAGACTCTGACATCTGGTTCGGAGCTCTAACGCTATGTTTGAGCAGCGAATAAAGGTCGGTTCACACTGGTGCGTTTGCTTTTGATTTCTTACGTAGCCTAAGGTGTCACCGGGACATTCGTGTTTCGTGCGTTGCGTGCAACGCTGCTTTATGAACCGGTCGCCATGGTTCATTCGAAGCACGGATGTCCCGGTGACTCACGACGTAAGTGGTCGTAAGAGAATGTAACGTAAAAACACTGTGAATTCCTCTTTTTATTGGGAGGGAGGGGGGGAGGGAGACACGTTCTACTTGTACGTATAGGTTTATACGCAACTTACCTTGTGGGTTACGCTGGAAAGGGAACAAATGATGAAATACAGAAAAGCTGAAAACGTCACCGGTCGACAGATTTTTTTTTTGGAATGATCTATGACGCGCGTGACCAGAAGCATTTCTGTGATCGGCATGTTCACATCAATAGAAATAAGGATCATGTCAGCACGTCATGTTTGTCGATGTGGTCGTATATAGGGTGCCTTCATGTGCGCTTTGCTTGGGATGATGACATCTGGCCTTATTTTTATTTTTTGTTCTGAAGCGCGTGAAAGAGCGTGTCCCTGCCTGCGCTCGTGGCGCTGACTGCTACGGCGACATTTTGTTTCCTGCGATTTCTTTGTATTTTCCCTGTGAGCCCGTGCTGTCGGCATTGGGCACTACAAACGATGGCATCACCCCAAACAGAAGGACATTGAGGCACTCTAGTCGTATAGTTCCAGCACGTCATGTTGGAAGCGTCCACCGAGCTTTTTACACACCGCCAGTATTGTCGATTGCGGCTGAACAAAGCCGGGGTCACACTGCTCACACATTATACTGAAGACGGTGTGGAAACACGTGTCATCACAGTATCCGCGGTTCGAATGCCGCGTGCCCATGCCTCTCCTTGAAGTCATTGCCATGCGTCTCCCTAAGTACGAATCTTGCGATGACTCGCGTCCAGGTCCGTATGCAAACTGTCTTTAGCATAGGTGTGTGCAAAACTGCTAAGCGCGTACTGACGGCGAGCTTCCGCAGTTCTTTTGCAACGTGCCTTTCGCACCATCCCAATTACCGGTTTTAGCAGCCTATTAATATAAGCTTGTTCTGAGCGTGCGCTCTAAACATCGCCTTCAAATATGGCGTCGTGTGAATATAAGCAGTGTGACTCCGGCTTTTAAGTCATCGGGACAACAAACATCGAGAGAGATGTTGTTCGTGACTTCACAGGTGGGAACCACAAAACGGTGATATCGAAATATTTCACAGCCAGTAGATACTTAAAAAAATATTTTATTGAATAAAATTTTATAGGTTGGTTTGTTTTGTGCCTATTATGGTCACCTACTAAAGTAGAGTAGTTGTACCTGGCGGACTGTGATTTACTCAAGTGCCATTGTGACCTGATTGAACTTATGAAGACGACTGCAATCATAGCTCTATGACATATTTGGGGCATTCGAGTATGTGCAATGGGCACGAGCCAAGTAGATATTATAACATTATAACTGCACAGTTTCTCATTTAAGAGTAGAAATCGACGTTCACGATTACTAGACAGCCACGGTCAAATTTTCGCACATCTTGCGACATGAAACATGTAGATGTTTCGCTTCAATTATTCTGCGGAACAATTTAGGCGAGAACTTACGATATAGGTTTCATCTAAGGGTACAGTAACCATAGGCACCACAGTATCGTAATTGACAACATAAATGAACGTTCGAGTTATGAATTTGTATTCTATGTCGTCACGCTTTTCAATGCAGCTAAGCGCAGTTAATTTCGTCATATGTAACTGTGTCCGTAGTTTTCAATTTTTTTGACCACAGATGTACAGACAGTGACACAGCTAGCTGTTTTTCCCCTCTGGTTTTTTCTTAAAAACAAAATGATGGCATTCAACTTTCCAGAGTAAAGACCGAATCCTAGGTACAGATGTAACCGGTAAATCTTAGCACTCGCCAATGTCCGTTTTGATTACAAATCACAAGCTGCCAATAGTGCGTTTGTGCTGACTGTGTCGCTCAGTGTACCTGCATGGCTTATGTGTACGAAATCCTCTGGTTGTTATTGCGTACTTGGAACCTTCATAGGTGCCTGATTTTGTCCTCAGGTTTTGGAAACCAGCCGCTAAGTCATGCAGAGCTACAAGTAAGTATCGATAATTGAGTTGTCGATTTCTTTTTAGAAATACGTGCTTTTAATACTTTTCAATGTTTATTTCCTGTTGCAGTGCACCCCCACTGCCGAGCAAAGACGAGTAAGAAACAAAGACGTGTTCGCTCCCCTAAAGCTTTAGCTCGAGATGCGGAAATAGGCAAATTTGAATAAAACGCATACTAAAGAGTTAACATATAATTTGAATAGCGATATAAAACATGTCTTACAAATAAATATGTATGTGTTTGCCCTATACAAACAGTCTTTTGTAGTTGCTAAAAGAATTTTGGTAGGAAGTATTTTGTTTCATAAATTAGAAACGAAATGACTAGCCTAAACAACGGGGCTGTTTCTGCTGTGTTTCGCTGCAGACTACGTCGAAAGGCGGTAACGTTTCTTGTCGTCTGAAGGCCATATTTCCCTGACTAAATTGCGAGGAACCCTATAGCAAACGAACCCTTTAAATCCCTAACACTACGCACATCTCTAAAGCTCAGGTCGCGCTGCTTAAGCCGGGGTCCCCCCAGCTGCTCATACATCATACAAAAAACACCGCATGCCAAGTTTCCTTCTTGAACTCATTGCCATGCGGCACCCGAAGCATGGATCTCGCCGTGACTCGCGTGATCCAGGCAGTGGAGGCATGCTCCCATACTCAAACTGTCCCGATCGCCCCCCGCCCTCCTTCCTTCTCCCCTCCCACCGTGAGGCTGTTGGCTGTTGCATGTTGAAGCTACACTCCATAGGCGACAAGGCGCCAAATGCTAATCCGACGCGACCGGGTCGTTTATATATATATATATATATATATATATATATATATATATATATATATATATATATATATATATATATATATATATATATATATATATATATATATCAGTGTGTCGAACCGAAAAAAATACGGGTTCGGTTACGGTTCAGGTAAATTTATTTTGTTCCGGTTCAGTTCCGGTTTGATTAATTCGATCCGCGAACCGGTTCGGAAATTATAAATGACATATTGCAACATCAAAATAAATTACAAATAAAACATCTGAAATCAGCACATACGAAACGGGATACATCGTAGTGTAAGGCTCAGGGATTTCTACCAGGAATGGTTTCTTTACGTGCACTCAAAGGTTACCTCACCGACGTTTACGCATTCGGACTTCATCTAATTGGGTCCGACGCAGTAGCTGTAAAATCCGCGACCTCCTTACAAACCCACTTACAAGTAGAACTCGCTAACTATCCCGCCACCTCGGCGTGTAAGCAATTGAAGGAACAGTGGGGAGAAAATACAGCCTTCTTTATTTGAACTAGCCTTCGGTAACTCAAATTAGACCCTTAATGAAGTTTTCATTAAACAAGATACGGAATATGAAAAACAATTCACCGAACGCAACGCCAGAAGGACGTAATAGGATAAATATTAAAATAGAAGAGTTCGCTGTCTCACAAATATGTCAGCTTCTAAGTGCCTATACGAAACCGGATGCATTATTATCAAACTCCACAGCCTTTTCTTTTCTCATTCCGATGGAAGCAAGCTTCAAGAACTCCCGCGTTCTACAAACGTGTTATGAAATGAGCACACAGCAGCATTTAGGGTTTACGAGATTGTAGAAAAATGAAATCCCGTGACGCGATTTATATATATATATATATATATCAGGGTGTCGAACCGGAACCGAACCGAACCGAAATCCGGAACCGAACCGGTATTTTTTCCGGAACTGAACCCGAACCCGAACCGTTATATTGTTATCGCGATGAACCCGAACCGGAACTGAACCGGAAAAAAAATTGCGGTTACCGGCTCATGTCAAAACGGTTCGGCCACGCGCTGTTGACAATGAATGTGCTATCAATGCCATTTGTTTTTTAAGCGCCGTCAACTGACACACACCTCGCTTACATATTTTTCTTCTCCACTCAGTCTTAGGAATATAAACGCTGCATCCATGAATCTTGGTAAACGCTGCATCCCTTTAGACGTCCAGGTAATATAGTGTGCGGTGTAGTTAGTTTTGTGCGAGTGGGCGGCCGCTGACGAAAGCCAGCACCACGATGCATCCGGTTTCGTATAGGCACTTAGAAGCTAACATATTTGTGAGACAGCGAACTCTTCTATTTTAATATTTATCCTATTACGTCCTTCTGGCGTTGCGTTCGGTGAAGTGTTTTTCATATTCCGTATCTTGCTTAATGAAAACTTCTTTAAGGGTCTAATTTGAGTTACCGAAGGCTAGTTCAAATAAAGAAAGCTGTATTTTCTCCCCACTGTTCCTTCAATTGCTTACACGCCGAGGTGGCGGGATAGTTAGCGAGTTCTACTTGTAAGTGGGTTTGTAAGGAGGTCGCGGATTTTACAGCTACTGCGTCGGACCCAATTAGATGAAGTCCGAATGCGTAAACGTCGGTGAGGTAACCTTTGAGTGCACATAAAGAAACCATTCCTGGTAGAAATCCCTGAGCCTTACACTACGATGTATCCCGTTTCGTATGTGCTGATTTCAGATGTTTTAGTTGTAATCTATTTTGATGTTACAATTTGTCATTTACAATTTCCGAACCGGTTCGCGAATCGAATTAATCGAACCGGAACTGAACCGGAACAAAATAAATTTACCTGAACCTGAACCGTAACCGAACCCGTATTTTTTTCGGTTCGACACCCTGATATATATATATATATATATATATAAACATTCACGGGCTGTATACTCGTTACCTGAAGAGCGGTCCCCGCTCGAAATGTCGTTATAAACTTCGAATTAGTAACTCCGACTGTACGCATCTTTGACTTATCCCGGTCCATTGTTTTTATATTTACCTTAATTTACTTATATATATATATATGTATATATATATATGGAGAGAGAGAGAGAGAGAGAGAGAGAGGTGAACTACACGATGCGACATGAGCCCCTAGACGTCGCCCTCACATATCAGATATACTTCCAGAGCCCCTGCTCGCGTTCGAATCTTTATGCAGGCTGTCTTTTGTATGACGCATGAGCAGTGTCACCCCGGCTTCATAGACCGACACGCTGTTTACAAACAAGCCCGTGTTTCCCCACACCAGGTGTGGAAAACTGCGCGTGCGTAGAAACGGAACTCGTGTGAAGCGAAGCGTCTGCGCATGCGCAGTGCCGTTGGCAGCGCGCCACCGCGGCTGCGTGACGTCAGGGACGCTTGTTGGTCTATACATCATACAAAAGACAGTCTGCAAACATATTTGAACGCAAGTCACCGCGAGATTCATGCTTCGAATGCCGTATGGCAACAAGTTCAAGGAGAAACTTGTCACGCGGCCTTCGAACCACAGATATGGCGGCGACTGATGTCTGCAAGACTGCCCTTTGTATGATGTATAAGCAGTGTGACTCCGGCTTATACCCTAGTTACACTAGCGCTCTTAACTATAATTAAGCCAATGGCAGTTAACTTAATCGCGAGGGGCTGGAGTACACGGCGGCGCCAACTGCAATAGACCTATTGCAATATTACCCAAGCACCAAGGAGAATGCAGGGATTGGTGTTCCGCGCGCCGCACGGGCTGGCGTCAGCAGTAGCAACTTTTCTAAAGCAAATACCAAAAACAATTGGCATCTTGCACGCGGGTTCGTCAACGCTTTATTTTGCTTATTTACTTCGAATCTTTTATACGGGGAAGGTGTGCGCGTGTGGCGCGTGGAACACCAATCCCTGCATTCTCCTTGATGCTTGGGTAATATAGCAAATGGTCTATTGAGCCATTAACGATCATTGAGTTCCACTGAGCCTGACCCACCCCGGTTATACTAGGGTGCCTCAATGTCCTTCCGTTTAGGGTGATGCCATCCTTTGTAGTACCCGATGCCGACAGCACACGCTCACGGGTGAAATACAAAGAAATCGACGAAAACAAAATGTCGCCATAGCACAGTCAGCGCCACAAGCGCGTGCAGGGACACGCTTTTTCACGCGCTTCTGAACAAAACAGAAAAATAAAAGTGTGGGACAAAATGGCCAGATGTCTCCACCCTATAGCAAAGCGCACATGAAGGCACCCTAGGTTATACTCTATTTCACCTTATGATGTACTGCAGGAAAGCCTACAAGCGCGAGCTCCTTGCTCTAGGGCACAGTCTCGGGGGCACAAGCTCTCGTGCATTGAGGCAGCTGCCAATGCTATGAGCTCGCGCTTCTAGCCTTCGCCGCGGTACAACACAAGGTGAAACGAAGTATAACTGATGAGGGTTCGCCCCAATAGAGCTAAAGATGGCGGCTTCCGTCGCATCGCCACCCATGGCCAGCGCCAGCGAAGCACTTCCTATTGCGGAAGATTGGGGGCGTATCTGGAAAGTATCGTAGCAGCAAATATTGTCGAAAGAGGTGTGATTCGGGGGAAGAGCTACCGCTTGAACGATCACGGCACGTCGCGGAAGACAAAGCTCGGCGAGGGCGGCCATTGTAATGTCAATGCCGACAAGACACTTGTGTCTCTTTTGCTTGGATTCGCGCGAAATGTTCTAATTGTCATTTGTTTACGCTAAAAAAAGAGGTTTATTTTATTTTATTTGAACCGTTTATATTAGATGAAAAGTGTGTATATTTCATGTGCATCGCTATTTGAAAAACAATAATGTGATATAATTTTTGGTTTCGTTTCGGTTTGAACTGTGTCCCTTAACGCGCGTCTCAACTGGGGTTGTTAAGCCTATGTACCGTGTAACATCCGACAACTTAGTTGAGCTCAGTGACAGTGAGGAGATGTCAACGATCGTTGGTTTAATGACAGTTGAAAGCACTACTGTAACTAGGGTATTAAATGGGTACTCCGGCGTTTTCTTAATAGTCCCCGATTTGCAGGAAAATTTGCTTAACACACTAATAAGCATTAACCAAAACATTGGACGAATTGTTTTTTTTTTTTTTTTTTTTGCGAAGGGTTTGAATTTATAATTTTCGTTCTTACCGTGTTTTTTTAAAGTGAAAGTCTCTACTCGGCAAGAATTGAAAACTAACGTCAGGGGAAGGCTGGGGTTTACTCTTTGGACAGTAGACGTTGTTCCCACCTGATTGCAAGCAATTTTATAGTGTCAAATGAAGGATTTGGAAGTTCGCTCTAGCATCCGCGCAGCAGCATGAAACAAATGCACGGGACAGACCATTTTTCGACTGCACGCTCGACCTGCAAGCCTGTCTTCATTTAACGTCACGTCACTGAAAAGCGCGGGTATATTTGAATGTTGGTTTTGACATAATTTTCTTTTGCCGATTTCGCAATAACTATTCTGAACTTTGCGATACTAAAGAGCGTATCAGAAAGGGTAAAGGCCAATGATTCATCATATATAGTTAGTTGGGGTAGCTAAAACAATTGCCGGAGTACGGTCTCTTCGCAGTGACTATACCCAATTTCATACTTAGTATACAACTCTGTCACGCTGAGCATGGCGCACGAGCTCGTGGCTTTATCTGCTGTTTCGTTTGTGTGAGAATGCGTGCAAATGATCTGCGAAATCAAACCCCCTGCTCGCGCCAGTAGCTTTGACAGCGTTGTACATTAAGTATTAAACAGAGTATAATACGCCACATTTTTGTTTTCTATGCAATATGTGAATTTTAGAGAAAAATTATGACAGGTAATCCTTTAAACAACCTGCATAAGAAGACTAAAGACCTGTAGCGGGCCTTTTTAAGTTCGAGACACCAACCACGTAAAATCTTATAAAACAACTTCAGGTCTAACAATACGCTCTGACGGCACAAGTTTTGTATTATTTCCTGCAAACAGTCTGCACGAATAGATTCGCCTAGCATACCATATTTCATTCGTCCTAGGCTGAGACCCATTCCAAGCGGAACAGCTCAGGAACAAGGTTCTCGTAGTGCGTAAGTGCTACCATTTGTCCTAACTATAATCCGCGATTGCACATACCGTTCTCACACTAGTAATGCGTGTTCAATAGGCCGTAATTAGCACAATCGCTAAAAAACTAAGGCGTACTTTTGAACCGTGTGTTCATATCTTCTTGCACCAGACCCCCGAATACACCGGACAGCTTTCTGAACACCTGCGTCACTGTCGTTGCAATCTTGATTATGATCACACTTATTGTCCTGGTGATCATACTTCTTCGATGCTTCAGCGGCAAAGATGGTATGCCCCACATTTTATTTTCTAGCTTGGGTGTTGCGGGAGCCATGCTAAAAGTAAAGTTATAAAGGCTGTACATATTCTTGCTCTTGCGCCAAATTCAAACAAGTGTTCTTGTAAAATATGATTATCAAATCTCGGAAACATTTTGAATTCGAATAACCTATTAATGGCTTCAGCTTTGTTATACTGGCTTCTATTGGTTTCTTGCTTCAAAAACCACCGTGACAAAAACAATACACTCTTAGTGTCATCTGTCGATTATCACAACCTCACGTTATTCCGAACCGTCTCATGGCTAAAAATACAGAGTTAATCTCATCTTTACTTCCTAAACCCGTTAAAAACCTGTGCATGAGAAAGGCGAAAGGTTACATCGATGATCACACAAAGCACTTCTTTTTTTTTTTTCTTTAAAATAAAAGTTTTTGTTAATCGCCGAAAGCCTGTGCGTCCATCGTTGCCTAATTTTTTTTTTTTTTTTTTTGTGATTTGCAGACTGCAAGAAGTCCGAAGGTCCCTACAATCCGTACAGCAACACCACCCTGACCTGTGAATCGGAGGAATGCAGGTCATACGGTAAAGGTCCCCTTTATCCCTCACGTGTCTCTTGTCTAACTCAAAAGCATTTGTAAAGGGCCCGTACGATATTTTTTTTTAACCTCTTCCTCTTTAGATTTAATACAACTCAAATGCGAAATGAGAAATCACATGGTCGTGACGCGCATGGGCACCGGGGCAATGACTCCAAGCTTCCACCGTGCTTTTAACCACACCATGGGATTTGCCATTCGCAAGTGATGATAAGTGCCGTCATGGATCACATTGGCCACAAACAGATTAGTAGATTAGGAAAGGCACGCGCTAAGAAGAGGCACGAGCTCGCGTGCTGAGCAGAGTTTCATTTCGAATCCTGGTCGTTCCGTCTCTGCTAAGCCTAGTTACAATGTAAGCCTCATACATAAAAAAAAAAGAAAAAAAAAACTTGTCGGCCTTGGTTTTCTGTTTTTTGGGCCCACTGGTTGAACAACCACCGTCACCTTCCCCTGCCTGGGAGCGCGATTTCCCGGCTTCGGTGGGGTTAGTGACAATTACGAACTTTTGCAAGCCTACCCTCCTGGCTAGATACGGAAACCCATAAAAAGAATTAGAGCATGGCGAATCCAGCTTACCTTTATCTGCCTGAAAGTAACCCAGAGGAGACACCTGCTAAGAAGGTAGGCCTGACTTACATTGTACTGAACGAAAAACTGCTTACTTACTCTGCCTAAAACTCCCGAACCTTACGGAGTACATAAAGAACAGGGCAGATTTTCTTGAATTTCAACAGAACCAGGCTGACATTGTTGAGTATGTACAGAACCAGACGGTTTCTGTCGAGTATGTGCAGAACCTGGCGATGATTACTGAGTACATGCGTAACAGGGCCGCTTTTTATAAATGCGAGCACCAAGACTAGACGGGAAACTCGTCGGCTTGTGGTAGCGAAGTTCTCTCGGGTAGCTCCAGCGCCCAAGCGAGTCAGCAACACACAGCGTCAGTGAACGAGGACAGGAACCAAGGAACCGGTGCGGCTAGACCGGGATATCAAGTGCGCAGGCGCGACAGATGTCAGAGATGATACGAGATGCGCGACTCTATGTCGTTATCACCCAAGTACATGGTCGTCTTGAAACCCGTTTGTAGGGAAGACGTACCTGGCCATTAAAAACATCACAGACGCCATCACTCACACAAGCATCGACGACAAAGAAAGTTCCATTCATGTCAACAAGAATTCAAATACGATTGCCATCACCACCAGGCGGTCGATAAGCTCCTCACGGTTGCAACTATTGAGCAGAAAGGCAAGCAGGCAGTATAATAAACGGAGTATGTCGCGCATTTGTTTTCGTTCTGCTGGAGTGAGCTTCCACAGCGTCCATTCCGCACAAAAAAAAACAACAAAAAAACTTGTAATACGTCGGGAACTATTGGGCAAAAGATCGAACTGTAGGGTGAGCTTCATCGAGCTTTTGTCCCCACAGCCCGGTGTTTACTAACACACAATAACAAAGAAATTGAACCTCGCCATGCACGGTCTGGACAGGAGCGCTTCACTCTTACCAGTGCTTTGGTTGCACGAGGAGCGGCCATTCGAATCGTCACCATCGATATCGCTGATCAAAAACAAACAAGAAAATTCGGTTTGTTGTCCCCACAGCTGAAGCGTGCCGCCAGAGGCGTGACTGTTCGATCTTCTCCCCAATAGTGCGTTAGCCCTCAAGTTAAGACTACAGCCAATACCAAAAGCCCGAGAACACGAGATCGCGTTCACTTTTAAATGAGAACAACAAAATATACATCTATGACAGATCCCTTTGAGAAGAATATATGAGTAAAAATTAAATAGTAAAGCTTGAAAATCTTACGAGATAACAGTAAACCAATATTAGACAAAGAGCCAAATTCCTGCACTTCAAAGTGTTGTATTTCTGACAGGCAAAACATATCAGATATTTTTAATGAGAAAACAGGGCGATATAGTGCAGAATGCTTCACCGAAATCTAAAAAAAAAAAAATCGATGATGTTTTTTTTAAATTGCACGTTGAAGTTGCGGGACTTCTCGTTTTCAGCTAATTTTAGAGCACTGTAAATATTTTTTTTATAAGACAGAAAGACACGTTATATATAGACAACAGACCCTTATGTGAAGATCCTGTGAAAAAAAAAATTAAACTATATATCGTAGAAACTTTACGACATAACAAATCACAAAAATAAGGTAAAAACGTCAAAGTAGCCATGTTTGTGAATTTTTTACGCACAATATATATTACCCAAAATTCTATGAATTGTTTCATGTATTGACATTATAGACTACTATAGGAAAAAAAACTTTTGAGTTTTATAGTTTGTTTTTGTCTAAACTTGTCTAAACTTGGCAGAAATGCCAAAACGGGTTCGTCGCCTTGATGTAGTCTTTTTTTTTTTTGGTTTCTCGAGAAATAAAATTTTTCTCGCAAAACCTTTTGTGATTCCGTTCCCTCCACTCCTTAGGGAGTAACATATAAAAATACGAAGAAAAACAAAAAATGTCAACTGGACACGCGTGCATTAACTTATCTGAGCACACCCAGTAGCTCTCTTCTGCGGCGTATCAGCCCTTGCGAAAATGGCAGATCTGGACTTATATAAAAACAATAAATATGGATATATAAAACATTGGGCAGATCTGGCCATATCAAGCACATCAGTTTATATAAGCCTTATATAGTCAGATCTGCCCACTTTTTTATATATCCATTTCTGGGTCTGCCAAATAGGGGTATATCTACCTCCCATATCAGGGTGCTTTTTTTTTATTCTTGCAGATTTGTTCTTAAAGAAAAGTCATGAAAGCTACACTTATGCGGTTTCTGCGGGTGAGTTATACGCCCAGGGGGACATTACGAGGGGCGCTAAGCTTTGCGATTACTCGGCTAATTAAATAAAATTCACTAATGAACTTTTCAATTAGTGAAAATAGACATACGGTTCCAATAAGCAGCTAGCGGGGCGTCGTCCAAAATCCCTAAATCAGTCATTTTTAAAAAGTCTTTCAGCGCGTGAGAAGCGCACTAAAGTTACCACTCGTGGAGCAGGTACAAGGCTAGCGGTTTCGGTAAGGCGCCCGCGCGATTTGTCTGTCTCTTATTTAGCCCCAGCCTTGTACCTGGTCCACGAGTGGTAAGTTCAGCGCACTACTGCGCTTGACACGCGCTCAGTCTTTCTAAAAATGACTGGTTTAGGACGATGCTCAGCAAGTTTTTAATTGAAACCATATGTCTATTTTCACTAATTGAAAGTTAGGTAATGAATTTTAACCAATTAGCCGACTTATCGCAAAGAACGTCCCCCCGGGCGTATCACTCACTCGCACAAACCGCATAAGTGTAGCGTTCATGGCTTCTTTTAAAACAAATCTGCAAAAAAAAAAAAAAAAAAAAAACAAAAAAAAAAAACGGTATTCACCATGCTGGTAGTTGACTCTTCGACCCTCCACAGCGGGAGCAATGGTAAACTGTGCCGCGCTCGGCTGTAGCAGTTACCCGGTATCCCGACGATCGTTTTGTCGGCATGAACCGCGAGACAGAGTGTCCGCCAAGTTAGAGAAAGTACGAGCGGGAGGAGAGGGATACGCCCGGGGATGACCGAGTTTGCGGCACGCATCTCATAGCGGCGAGCAACGGCACTTTTCTACCGTTGTTTACGTTCGCGCACGCCTTTGCATCGGCTTTTGCCTATTCGTCTATTCGTGGAGTAGATGTCCTGTGCCTATCGTTACATAACGCCGATAACGGAGATCGGTCGGCGGCGGCCCCGCGTGCAAGCTCGCCAAGACGCCGCCGTCAGGGGATCAATTTGTGCCATCTGCAAGACGGTAACCCTTGCAAGGAGCGAAAGTATGTTGGCATGCCGGTTAGGAAACATCATAATATAAAGCCTGAGTCAATGAGAGTTGTCCGTTATTTGATTTATCCTCATCTCAGGGTTTAGATTATGACGATAACCTAGCATTGTTTACCAGCATTTCGCAAAATCGTAACAATCTTTCTACAAGCGACTCGTAAAGCCGCTCGTCAAATTTTGGAACGCGTAATTAAGAGTCTGTGTTGCTGTTGTTTTTTGGCGACACGTCAAAACTTTGTCGGCGGCATATCGAAACTTTCTGCTTGTAGCGCAATCGCACCAATGCCGAAACATTCTACACAGTGATTCTCCCGGCTGCCAGGAGATAGACACGGCCTAAATCTAGAAATAATCTGGAAGAATACATTTAGGAAAAACGGTCAATTGTCACGAAGTAGGTTGCAGCGCACTTACGTTGACGAGACGCGACTTGAAAGGTGTTATCCCAGGGAGATGTCGATACAGCCACGGCAAAACCACCACTCGGACACAGAAACGAGAATGTGCCCGTGAAGATTCAACACGATGTAGCACAAGCTGTCGTTTGTAGAACCGAACACTAAACGCATGAGAAAAAATTATTGGGCTGGCAGCTTGTGCTGCCAGATTCCAGATCTGGCAGCACAAGCTGCCAGATCTGGCTTATACGGCCAGATCTGGCAGTATTTGCCCACTTATATGGCGAAATACGGCCGTATTATCTCCCATATATGGCGAAATACAGCCATATTTGACTGCTTATATTATCATATCTGGCCGTATATAAAATATATCAGGGCCATATCTTACATTTTCGTAAGGGAGACGCATATTGCGGGTTATGCATTGTATAATTTGGTCGATGGACAGAAATAGTAATTTTATTGTTGTGTCAAATCTTTTTTAGCCGGCTTAATGCGGGCAAACCTGATCTCATTTCTTGAGCCCTGCGAAGATTTCTACGAATTTGTGTGTGGCGGCTGGATGAAGACGGCCAAGGTGCCTCCGGACGAAGTCATCGAGAGCGTCTCATCCGAAGTTCGCCGCCGAGTAGAGGACGAAGTTACCGGCAAGTTGACCTTTCGCTGACTATGCAAGCTTTCTGCGATTACGTTGTGGCATTAAAGGGGCTATTAATTTGTCGGTGTACCACCGCTCACCTTGAGGATAAATATTTAATGTTAATAATATGGCTGTCACATCAGAAGAGGACCGATTTTCAGCCAATTGATCTCCTGCAATTTGTGCATGTGCAAACAAAAATGTGGGATAAAAATGGGAATACGACAAGACACCCTTGTTCAGAAACGCTACAAGAACAATTCGTGGCAAATCGGGTGCCTTAGAGGGGCCCTGCAAGCACTTTTTTACTGGTTTTTAATTTGCACCAAACCTGAGCGCACTGACCGTAGTAACTTAATGTAACTTTTCTTTTCTCGAATTTCGCTTTATTTTAGAAGTTAAAGGCAAATTAAAATTACAAAAACAAGCAAAAAATAATTTCCCTCATGACGTCCTTGGTTGTTTGAGTGGCTGTGAACTAAAGGAGGGATAGTGAGCTCAGCGAGTGCTCACGGCTGCCGCACTCCGTGTCAACGGCGCGAGAGGGCGCCACTAAGGCGTGTTCTGGATAGGCTCTCATTGCATTTGCTGCGCGATTAAACACTAATTCCGCATGACACTTCATTTGCCATAAACGACAGCAAACACGGGGTAAAGATTAGTTCAGAATGGGAGTTACTTCCTGCTGCCGTAACGCGAAATGGCCAAAACGCAAGACAAACCTACTCGCTGAAGGCCTTCGGAACCCTCGGAGCCGGTCGGATCCTCCAGTCCGTAAACGACCGCAGCGCCGCCGCGTACATCCGGGGCCTTTCCGTGTCGGCTCTTGATCCCACTACTCTTTTCTAGTATGCGCCGCCTTTTCCACCGCTTGGTGGCGGCTACGTCGAAGCGTCATTTCTTGTTTCCGTACTTCATAAACTGCATTTCTTTCTTTTCTGATCTAAAATAATGAACAAAAACTACTTTTAGACATAATTGAAACGGTTCGCGCCACTTATATTTTGTATTTCGACTAAAAAAAAGCTTTGAGCGGCTCTGACCAGTAGTAAGCCAAGGACCAAAGACGTCACATTTTGCGCGCTTTCGGTACCGCAGGTCGCCCCCGTCGGTGGAGGAGGTTTCCGCGTCGCCGGGTTAAAATATGATGCACTGATATTTAGTTACTCTCTCCGTGCCCGCTGGCTTGCCCGAACCCCAAGAGACGTGGAAACCGCAAAAAAGATAGACGCTTAAATATGATTGCAGGGCCCCTTGAACGCTGACATAGCAAAACAAAAATTATCATCATTGAGGTTATCCATGAAGCGCAAAACACTCTTCGTCTCAGTATGAACTCGAAGATGGGCGATTCATATGCTCAATGTCGTTATTTGAGGATCAATATATCAAGGATGACACGGTTTTAACCGTGGTTGGATTTCCCGCGTGATTGCTGTTAAATACTAATATTTAGCGCTACAAATTTCCTACATCACCTTGAATAGTTTTTTTTTCTGACAGAAGGGCACAATGTTGCCGTAACTGAGGTATTATTTTTCTTTACAGAAATTTTGAACAACACAGTAATATCATATCGTGACCAAACAGCGACACAAAAGGCCTCGGCGTTATACCAGGGCTGTATTAACATCGGTGAGTGTTAGTGTCTAAAAGCAGAAATATGCCACTACAATAATAGTGTTGTTTTGTTGTGTCGCTATTTGATTGCACAGATATTTGTTTCCCCACCCAAAAGATATAAAATGAATAGGTGAACAGAGGTTTTTGTAACATTGACTGATATATTATTCTGGCATGGTAGCTTCGCACTATGTTATAGTGGCAGTGGAACAGTGCGGCTGTTGTTTCATGCCAAAAGAAGATTACAATTGATTTTGTGAGTTCTGTTTACGGTAAAACACATAAAGGTGCCTATTAGGCTGGTTTACACAGCCCCGTTTTCTTTCGTTACGTTACGTGACGAATCCTTACGTACAAGTTACCGGGAAATTTGCAGCGTATCATATTAACCGTGGTTATCCGTTCAAGGAGATATCCTGGCACGCGATGTTTGAGACACGGATGTTTCGGTGACTTCTATGTAACGTTAGAAAACGTTGGAAAACGATGCTTTGTGAACCAGTCCTTAATGCCAAATCGCAATTAACTCAAAGAGTGTTTCAACCAGAATTTGTGAGTCATAAGTGGGAATATAAAGTTCCAACCTTACCTACCGTATACCATTCATTTTGCAATCTATTAAGAGTTACACGCATCCAGTTCAGTGAAACCGACGCTGTATCCACGCTAAAGCAGGACCGCGACTCAAGTGCACTCTTCGCGGTGTACATAATTTTATCGAGGCTTATAGCATGTTCTTGAGAAAAATTACAGTAGCTTAACCATGGCGGCGAGGATCAGAATGCGTTTTGAATGAACTGGTCATATGCTACGTGTGTGTGACCTCATGAGGTCACATGACTAATATTACATGACGTAATGGTGTCACGGGAGGAATCCTCATGGCGTCGCGTGGCGTCACAATTACGTCATGGTGTCGCGTGACGTGACAGGGACGTATGTTGACGCCATGATATCATCTGACGTCACGGTGACGTCACGATGCCGTGTTGGTGTCACCTGGCGTCACAGTGACGTCATGGTAACGTCGTGATGATGTCCTAGTCTCTTCTGACGTCAGAGTCTTTTGTGACTGTTCTTCTGACGGTTCTTTATGACGGCCTTTTCATAGAACTTGGCTAACGCATTCTGTGTGAAAAAGCAGCACTTTGAGAGAGTAACTGGGTGAGTTTTCTGATATCGGCCGCAGATTTGAGGAACAGCAAAGGCACCAAGCCTCTCGAAGACTTGCTCACCTACTTCGAGCTCCCGCACTGGCCCATCTTGAATCGAACGGCGCAGTTCAGGATTTTCTCCATCCTCGGCAACATCGTGCGTGACCTGGGCATGGACGCTCTCATCTCCATTAAGGTCGGCCTGGACTACCATAACAGCGACCGCTACCTGATCTACGTGAGCACGCATCTACACAAAACACCGGTGAAATTGGAAAAAAATGTTTCAACGTTTTCTTTTGCAGGGCATAGGTAGTTTTGTAACGTACACCTTGCATTATCTGTTTGACCTAGTGGCATCGTGGCTACTTCTGAAAAGTGCGCAGTTTGCCATTCAACACCCTCTTTGCGTGATAAACAGCTGCATCGCATTAGTGAAGGTGCTTTCCAAATCACATTCACTACTAGACAGTGTAACAACTAGTGGACAATGCAGAGGAGAGTCGGTTTGACTATAACGAGTGATACAAAAATATCGCTTCCAAATTATTGTCACAAAGTATAGAGCGTATCTACCATTGTACATTAACATAGATTATTTTAACATATTTCACAAACATTTTGTCATTTCTCAGTAACCACTGGCCATTTACAAAATCGATGTCAAAACAGTTTCGGTTCTGTACTTGAAAAATTTATTCGTCAATGGTAAATGTTAAGCATAATATTCTAAACATTATTCAAAAATGAAAATTTGTAAAAACTGTAAAACGAATAAATGGTAATTTTATTATTAATTGCGTTATGCTTTGGGAACGAATGTATTTTTTCCGTATCGTCCCCCGTAAATTATGTGTGGGACTACAATATTTTTGTACTGACCATATTACGTTTTAACATTTAGTAAAATCTCGTTGTTTACAGTCAGTTGCGGGGTAGACGTTCGTGATAATAGCGGATGATTTACAGGAGTGAAAATAGCACGGGTATTGGGGACATGCGAATGTCCTTATTCGGAGTTAGAGCGCGGTCCAAACCATACCGGATTGCGGCGTGCGGGTCCCGAAGACTGCGAAGTTCTTGCGCGTGTGACGTCATTGGCGACCTTTGGCGGGTTCCGCTAGCCGCATTCGGAGTTCACTATACACGAACTCAACTCTGTGACCTCACGGCGCGGTGGTGGCGCGTCGGTCGCACTTCCGGTCTGGGACTGTGGGCAGAAGTCCCCATGCCAGACGTGTATTCCTGCGTTGTTTTGAAAGGAACCAGACAAAAACCTGCCTTCTCGTCAAAACGCCGCGACTGGGGCCGTACCAAAAGTGTCGAGAAAGGTTTGAAGGGCAGTTTTCACGTGCTTGGTTCGTCCGAGAATGTGGATTAATATGGATATGTGCCGTAAAAAGGGAAAAGCAGACGCCGTCGGACAACGATTGCTTGAGCGGGAAGCACTTTGGGTTGAAATCACGGATACTTGTGGTCATCAGATTTATCTGTTTTGTTTCAACATGAATCACAGAAAACCGTCAAGTTGTGCAGACCACCTGCGGACTACGTTCAGTGCGTCTTCAAGTTCAAACGGCCGCCTAATCGTTCGAAGTGTCGTCTGCTCTTTCAAACGTTTCTGCTTGTCGTCTGCTCTCTTAGACGACGCCGGCTCGTAGACCAAATGGTGGCCCTGTACTTGCGATAAGAAGTAAGTAAAGGCCTCAAAAGACTTCAAATTTTAAGATTGGTAAGCAGGTTCGATGTAAACAGTAGACGCAAAAAGATGTTGATCATTGTTACCACAGTGACCATCACCGACTTGTTATCCCCAATTCACTTGGTCCGATTCTGCTTGTGATTATCAGTATCGACGTCGACTGTCTCAGCTACGGTTCACGCTTCTGCGGCCCGAGCGGCGTCGCGACTAAAAATTGCGAGCGAAATCGCATCATGTGAATCAGGCTTTAGCGTACATATTGTGGCATCCACGCGGAATGAATCGCCACATGTCACATTATTCACGCGAAGTTTTGCGGTGGAACGAGCCTCGGTAATTTCGCTGACGCTGCTCAAGTAGTCAGGCATCGCGAGGAAGACGTAGAATCACCAATTCGAATGCGAAAAAGGGCATTGGGACTGACACCGACGGCGACAACATCGCGTTACAATGGTTTGTTTATGGGCGACGGCGAGTCTGTTGCCCACACCGCCATCGCGCATGCGCGGCGCCGGTGGCGTCCGCTAGGGACGCTCCGGTTTGTTTGTAAACAAGAGTTGGTGTATATTTCAAATTTCGGGAACCCGCAACGGCCGGATGGCTTTCTTGCTCTCCCTCCACTGACCTCCTCGACCCCTCGGCTCGTCTGAGGTAACTCCACAAGCTAATACACATTCTGCTCAGTTCATTTTCATTAGACAGTGCGCCTACAGCTGCGAATCTTCCACTAGCGGTGTAGGCAGACCGGGTCCGAACGAACACACGCGTGCACCACCCTGTCCACACTGTTGCACCCTCTTGCAACGCTGAGGGAGAGGACTCCCGCTGACGCATCAAGACGGCCAATTCGCCAAGACGACAGAGGTTGGTAGAGGCGGCCGTCCCTGATGTCTCAAAGTGGTAACTTCGGTAGATGGGCGGCATCCACCCCGTCGCATTCGAGGGGGAACACCCCGAGAAACGTTCCAACAACGCTGAAGTGGCGAGCTCCAATGTCATTGGATATTCGCGGAGTGAGATATATTACGTGGCAATTAATAAACTATTTGCCACAAGTTTTCATAAACTCCTTTCTCCGTTCACGTCATATCACGGGCTAGGGAAAAACTTCATGCGGATAACTTTGGGCTAGTTCGGCTAGGGCTACAAACCGCCCAAAATGAACCGCGAAATGGCAACGGGTCACGAAGTTCGCGAAGGCTTTGCAGTTTCCTTTACCCGTAATCCGGATTGGTTCGGACCGGCCTTAATTGGTTTCAACATCGAGTAAAACGTTGTGATTCGAGCCCGATTCCGTCGGTTGGACTTTTAACTAAGCGGGAGCGTTTATTAAACGATTCGTCACTTCGATAATCGTATTGTGCGTTTAACTTTGTTTCAGATTGGGCAGCCATCTTTTGGCGTGGAGCCGGTAGTGCTCCGCGGTAGGTTTCGTTCGCCGTTCTTTCGTATCCTGCACCGGTACAAGCTCTACATTTACCGTTGCGCCCTGCTTCTGGGCGCCAATGTGGCTGCGGCCGACATCGTCAACGAAATTGTTGCTTTTGAGACAAAACTGGCGGCGGTAAGTACGAGCCCAGATCCACGGTGCAAATTGAGTGTATGAACATTTCAAATGGTTCTTAATTCAACTGAGTTCTGACTGCTGACTGGTGCGGTGGCCATTGCGTGTCTTTCATTCTGATGATGACTAGAGTCCGGTAATTTATCATTATGCATTATATTGAATGTTAGTAAAATATGGTATATAGGACATGAATGATCTCCTAAAATATCAAAATGGCACAGTATGCATATATACCAGCAATTATTCACTGTCACTTACAGTGAACGTAGTACCAAGAAGAAGCATTTATGTCGTATTTGGAAATTTAGTAACGTTACTTGAGCATTTTGAGTGGCTGGTACATTGTTTATGACTCCAGTGCTATTACCTGAAAAGGAAAACGTTCTGCGATATCAAAGGTGATAATGATTAAAGCGATTTATTTATTTTGCTCGTTAACCGTCCGTGAACATTGCTCTCCAGTTCTGCGTTTGCGATACTGAAAGCATCATAGCAGGTTCTGCAAGCGAAGACTTTAATTTCACTAAGAATATTCAAGGGCATATGCTAGAGTGAAGTGGTGCGATAAAAGTATTTTTATGACCGTTTTTAGAAACCATGTTCACGATAGTGCGAACAGTTGCCAAAACGATTTTCACAGCAGCGTCAGCGCAGTCAAAATTAAAGCTATTTGGCGCTATGGGTTTCCGTCGTCTATGCGTTTTATGCTTATGTAACGTCAACTGTTTAGCTTGGAAAGCACCAAACGTGTCATAGCCTGAATGTGTAGCATAGTTGTGAGTGCTAAGATTTGTAGAATAACAAGAGAGGGCAGCACGCTAAGCGCGTACAGCTGTTAAAGGACCTTCATATATAATATCGACAAAAGCGCCGTTTTATGAAAATTTAAAGCTGCACTGCAGGAGTTGGTGTGACCACGCGCACTAGCCCGTTGGTGATTTTAGCATAGGCTGCAAATTAAAGCAAAGAGCGGATATCAAACCTGCGTTAAACTCGGCAAAACTGGAATAGAGATTTTAAAGGATTCGGCAGGATAATGGCGAAGAAACAATGAGTCGTGCGAGAGGTTTGGGTGGCACTTATATTTATGAACAATGTTGGACAAAATACTCGATAAAAGTATTTAAGCTAAGTTACTAAATACCTGCTTCATAAAGTCATAAAGTTCATCATGTGATGAAAAAAATAAAGACATTATTATTATTATTATTATTATTAAATACTACTCAAGTTACATTCACCGTAAAGTATCTTGAGTAGAGTAGAAATACTTAAGATGTAATTCAATTACTTTTGAAGATACTTCCACATTGCGTAATTGGTATCAACGTCAGTGGCAAACACGATTATACAGTTGCGCAAATCTGGTTTACTAGAACGATTTATACCACGCAACAGCACAAAACAGAAAACAAGCAAACAAAAACGTCGTAGGGCTATTTTATGCAGTCCAGCAGAATATCACTAGTGTACATATTACAAACCATTTTTGGACAAAGAAAGTCACTTTAGCTGTTAAAATGGCTGTCATCTGGATGATCGCCGTAGAACAGCAGTAAGAGGCGGGGTCGGCGGCATGTAATTAGTTCTAGTTTCGTTTTATACGAACAGCCTTAGTTTATTTTTTCCTGTCAGGAAGGTGTAGGCAAGCACCTGTAGAGAAAGACAGACGAAAAGGGACTACGTCTGACGAATTCCAAAATCGAACCACCTTTCTTGCGAACACTTTTCTTGTGAAGCAGATCGCCCAGGAAGTGGGGAGCGTGATTCTCAAACCGCGGTAACACCATCGCTGAAAGTTGTGAATAGTGACATCGCTGAATATCACGTCGTGCAACGGGCACAACGTTTAACTACAATCCATATTCCCTATACGGGGAGTTCGCTATAAATGAACTTGGGATACGGAAATGAGTGAATGGATGACAAAAAGGACCCACATAATAGCCATGGCACTCGTCGCACCTTTGTCTATTATGTTGGGTTCAGAAATGCACTCAACGTTGGGAGACGCTTTGTTGGCATTTGAGAGGTCGTCCTGCTCGTACTTAGTTTCCTGTCATATTCTCTGCTTATCAATGTTCGCTTACAGACAGTGTTCGCGAGAGCAATAAGTGCCGGACTGACGACAAAAAGAAAAGAGACAAAATAAACCTTGACGATTTGCCGTAGCGGAATCAAATATACAACAAACAAAAAAAAAAGAAAAAAAAGCGTTTTTTTTGTGTTTATTTTTCGCTTTCTTCTATTTGCTATTTCCTCGACTTTGAAGTCTGCAGTGCTGTCGTGGGTCGTTTCTCGTTCTGCGTTGCGCCTCAGTGTGGCAATCTTCACATCCATAAAACCACCCGTTTTATTTGAGGATGTTTTTGGGGGAAAGTCTACGAGAAAAAAGGCGCCTTTGAGAAGGCGGGAAAGGGGAGGGGACCTTCATTGCACGAACTTTCGTTTAAAATATGAGTCACAATCGGCACAGAAGCGATGTTTTCGTGAGCTTAATCTAAGCCGTTGTAGCTTATCGGAGCTAGCGGTTGCTCGAAAGAATGTTCAAGTTGGCTCCTCCCCCGCCCCACTTCATACCGAAAAACTTTGAAAATGGCAGAATGTCAAAGGTGTATTTGAGATAATCTGTACAAGATGCTCAGAAATGTAATTACAATAATGTATCAAATGCTCTTGATCAAAAGTATTTGCAAGATATTAAGATACTTCAAAAGGTACTCGAAATACAGTGTCTTGAGTAGAGTATTTGAGATAGGCACAAGTGTGCTTATGAATGGCAGAGCATCACAGCAAGGCAGAGAGGTCAGGACGACCTTTCACGGTCACAGCCCTCAATAATGTTGGCAGAATTAAAGGGGGGGGGGGGGTGCAACAATTTTAAGATCAAAGGAATTTGCATCTCGTCATTTTTACGTTGTTTATCGTGTCCTGGAGGATAGAGAAAACACCTCCTTTATTAAAACTGTCGCGATTCCGCTGCATAATCGCAAAGTCAAAGTCGAGCTTTTTCCCCCACCTGCAGCCGCGAGTGGCAGCCGGAGGAACTACGGCGAGAAACTTACGTGACCTCGCTCGGCTCTAAACTGCAGCATAAGGCGCGCTAACGTCAGCAGAGAGAGGGAGAGGAAGCGTCCCCCGAGTGAGCACACGGGAACCTACACGGCACCCTGAATTACGTCACTAGGAGTGCGACCAGGTGTGACCCTGAAGACTGGGAGTGAGTTGAGGGGTGCCAAAAATGCCAATATTTACCTCTTTTTGTTTTTCAGAAGTAGGACACGCAGGCGAAATCGGTTTTCTGTTCTTTACTTCAGAAGTGTCAGCGGGCAACTTCCACAAATTTCTGACCGAAGTCCGAAAATCGTTGCACCGCCCCCTTCCCCCCCCCCCCCCCCCTCCTTTTTTAAGACACCTGTGGTCGAGGGTCGTTGGAAATTCATTCAGGACATTGTTAGCAACTTCTATTTTTTTTGCCTCTTATGTTGCTCAAGCTGAAGGGTCGCCGTTTTGAAACCATGGACGTGATCTATTGCGAATCGCAAAAGGTACTATTCAGGAAGAGCTTTTTAAACGTGATAGATACCCTGGAATTGCCTCATCGCTGCTGAAGGGGATTACTTTGAGAGAGGTAGGGGTAAAGTAAACTAAGTACTTTGTGGTACGTGCAACAAGTCTCGAAGCGTTTTGACCGCACTTTGTGAATTATAACATATTTGTATACTTATTGTGATTGAGCGACTAAATCATTCTGAGCTTTGGGTACCACCTATTATATCCATGCGCTTAATAAATGACAAGCTCGCGAATTACAATATTATGCCTGTAAATTTATGCACTCATTTATTTCAAATATTTGCATATAACGTATGGATGAGTGCTGTAAGTTACATAAGTGTTTATAAGAAAAGTATGCTGACGTTTCCAAATAATCTGGGTATTTCAATATCTTTTGTCCAGATATCTGAACCGACTGATGCTGTCAACAACCCTAAGCGTGTTTACAACCTCCAGGCACTCCGGACTCTGGAAGTCGCCATCCCTGAGGTATGACTACTATTCACTCAAGCTAATCAAATTTCTACGCTCAGGTATATTTATAATAAAGCTTTTTAAAACGTGACCACACCTCTATTTCCGCACAACGAATGCGGAGGGCAAGTTTCTACAGCGTTGCTTGCCCAGCAGGTATGACAAGCTGCAATAAACAATTTGACCTGAAAAGTCCATGCTCGCGTGCAAGGACAATGGAAATAATGTTGGACGTCCTATTGAAAAAAGCAAAAAAAAAAAGAAGAAAACGAAACAAAAACAACATATGCTCCTATAGGACTCACACTCTATACTACCGTATGAAAGAACCACATATAATGAAGTTTTCTAAGTGTAGAGCGCACAGGTCAATTTGATATTTGGCTATGGTCAATTTTATATTTGGCTATGGCTATGTCTATAAGGTCCTAAAAAAGGTCTATATAGTCATCCCTAAAAGGAGGAACGCTTTCTTATCCTATGTTCCTTAAGGAAGAGACCTTCATTCCTAAAAGCAGGAGAGCAAAGTTCTTCCGTCATCTGGACCTTGATTATGATGCTCCCGAATCAAGGAAATCGAGCTCAACAAGACGCTACACCTATTGTCCGGGGCAAGAGGAGCAGCAAGTATAAACGCTGCATGAGCTTTCCGCGAACCGTTTTTATTTCCGAATCCAGCTTCCCGTGCAGGTAAAAAAAACTTGCGTTTCGAAAGCAGTCACCCAGTCTTCTCGTCGTCAGCACTGCGACGACGAGGGCATACAAATAAACAGCACATACAAACTACAAAGTGAACCTATACTACCTTGATTGCTGCTTCCGAGTTCTGGCTTCTGCCTTTTATACTCGTCGTTTGGAAGGTACAGATTTTGTCGATGAGCATCTAAGCAATAAATAATATTCCCAGCCTTTCTCAGTAATGTCATGTCTCGAAGGTATTTTGAACGGCTCAAAGGATCTTAAAAGTAAGCGCTTGTACCGTAAATATTTGAAAGCCGATAAAAAAACCGCCCCAAAGCGGTTCGAAGCCACGTGTTTGCTTTCCCGCACAGCACGTCGTAGCAAGTTTTTCTATCGTAGTATTTGTTTTTCTTTGTGCGCTGTTTACGTGCGGCCGCAATCGTCATCTTGAATGGATATCTGTAGATGGGGTATTCACCCAGCTGGAAGCGATGCTTCACGGGCAGTGAAATCATTGTTCGACCAACATGAATGCAGCCAAAGCCGCGACTTGCTGCAGGTGTTAAGTGTACGTCGTGGTGAGCTCAAAAACTTCTAGCGCTCATCACAGCACTCCGCTGAGAGGACAGTTTCTCCAGGAACCGCAGTATATTTAAACAGAATAATAAAGGATAGTTTTTTATCGCTAAAATTTTGAAACTGTGAATATACATACTTTCCCTTTTATTTCAAGACTGTTCAGTCCTTCTCCCATAGCGCAATCGCTTTCGGGGCGGAGAAACAGAATATCGCAGACGACAGTCACGTTGGCCACTGTACGATAGGTGCTGGTTCAGACCAGCGTTCACACATTACTGTCTGGACGTCGACATGATTGCACCATAATCCATCAAGGGGCCACACACTCTTTGATGTAAAGCAGAATATCAACCTGCGACAAATCGTCCGATCACATTAGCGGCATCAATGCCCGTCAGTTTTCGTCATCTTGCTGTTACACAACTGATACGCGCGAACACACGGTCACATCGGCGACAATTTCAGTCTTCGTTCACGACGAACGACACTGATATCGCGATGTTGCTGCTATATTTCTGGTACGCATAAATACAAAACCAGGTTGATTGTAGGTTGGCACTCGGTATCCGAAAACAGAGCCGAGCGCAGCATAGAAGATACACGTACAGGCACCCGGCAGCAAAATCTCCCTGTCTTTGACGCAGTTTCCGCAATTTTCATAACTTTGTCAACTACGTCACGTCGTTACGTAGTTCCGGAATCCGAAGACTGCCATCTTAGCCCAGTGTAGGTAGCACTGCAGGCACTGCTCCGTTACTTCACTGTTTCTAACGGCCTCGTTGGCTCGTTCGACAAAATCAGCGCTATAAACACAAATGCAACCGGGATGTTCTGCATGTTTTGACTGGGAGACATAATTACAGGCGGCATTCGTTGATGCTGAAGCTCAAGCAACTCATTGAATAACGTTTTTTAAGCAACGCGCGCGACGTGCTCGAGAAACGAAACCGAGAGAGGATGAAGCGGGAGGACGGAACTTTCCTCTCGTCTGGTCGGAGAAGAAAAACGTCTCGTTTTTCCATTCTTGTGTCCGCTTGAGGACGCGTCAGTAAAAGAAAAAAAAAAAAAAAAAGAAAGAAAAAAGCGTTGTTGCTACTTTTTTTTTTTTTTTTCCTTAGAGTGTACTTTCCCTGTGAGACGACATATAAATGCCATTGGTTTCTTCCACCCTATTTTTTATTTAAATTTAAATATATACAAATTAAAAAAATATATAAATAGATGGGGCGCACAGCACCGGCTGTGTTTTGTGCTTTACGTCTATATTTTGTGCAAAAGTTAGTGAGATTGTCTTAAACCTTTGAAAATAACGTCCACTGATAAAACGACTTTATATTAAGATTTTTTTCCAAATAGATCCTTCGTATGGTATTAGTGATATGGGTCGTACGGGTGCATATTTTGTTTTCAGTGGTGCATGATTGTGGGCGAAAAGGGGAAAGGGTGACGCCATTTTCTAGAAGAACGAATGACTGAAAAAAAGAATAAAAGAGGTTACTATAGACCTATTGTTAAATTACCGAAGCATATCAAGGAGAATGCGGGGATTGGTGTTCCACGCGCTGCACGTGCTCGTCTCAGCAATGTCAGCGGTATTAACTTATCTAAAGCAAATACCTAAAACAATTTGCACCTTGCACGCGCGTTCGTCAACGCTTTATTTTGGTTATTTACTTCCAATCTTCTAAATGGGGAAGGCGTGCGCATGTGGCGCGTGGAACACCAATCACTGCATTCTCCTTGATGCTGGTGTATTTAGCAATAGGTTTATTCTCTGTAATGGCAAATTAGAGCGCAGCTCTTGGAGAGGAGAAGGGAGGGTACGCCCCTCCTCTCCCTCTGTACTCTAGCCTCCGCCTCTCCTGTTCCCCTCCCATTTAGCGGTAAATTTTCACTGTTTCAGCTAAATTTAGCCACTAAATTTAGCGGGGAAACTGAATTGGTGTTGAGGTCATGTGACGTCAATTTCCCCGCTAAATTTAGCGGAAAAATATTCTCGCTAGGTTTAGCGAAAAAATTCTCTGCTAAATATAGCGAAAAACTTTCCCGCCAAATTACCGAAAAATATTCCCGCCAAATTTAGCGGGAAAATTTTATCCTCGTGACGTCGCACATGACGCCACGTTTGACATCATTATGGGAAACGTCCCATATTTCAACACTCGGTTACGCCGACCGCCGACGCCGACGGCGACGCCACTCACTCCGAAAACGGCCGCCTAAGAGCTGCGCTCTAAAATTATATATATCTGAATGTGACTTCAGTCGACAAGCATATGAGATCACACTGAATGCTCGAGAAAGAGATGGCCAGATATCTCAGCTTTGGGCTGAATACATATTTACTGCAGATCCGATGGACTTATTTTCTCAACATCGTGCTGAGAGACGTAGGCGTTTCTCTGGATCTCAACGACCACGTTGTTGTAATGCACCCGCTGTACCTGAAGAGGCTTTCCCGTCTACTCAAGGATATCCCCAGGTAAAACATCATGTAGTCAAATACCTTATTTTAAATTATTTCATTTGGATATATGATGCTACATGTATAATCAACAGTTTCAACCTAGCTGCGTGTGTTTTCCTGAGAAATGGGTTTGTGTTTTTCCAGAAACATATGTTGAGAAAATGGAAAATTTGATAAAATAGTTATGGCGCAGGCGGGGCTGATGGTGAGTGTAGTGAAAAGAAAGCCCAGAAAAGAGAGAGAGAGAGAGAGAAAGAGAGAGACACACACACACACATACACAAGAAAAGAACCCGCGCGTCCGGGTATTTTTTTGTTTGTTAAGTATGCAAAATCTTGCGTTTGGATTTCACATTGTTATAAAAAATAGTTGCGAAAAATAGTGTTCAACTTTAATTTTGTCGCTTTGGATGCCATTGTTCTTAATCTTAGTAGTAAGGGTGGTTTCGTAACCTTTTTGACTAATAGTTTAAAACAACGCTTACGTTGTTGTTTCTGAAGCGACCAGGGACCCAAAGCCCATTAAGTAAATCGACAAGCAACCAAAAGCAGTGCAAAAAAAACAACAACAACAACGGTTTATGATTTTTATGGTAAACCTGCATCGCAAATTGAACAATCCGAGATAGTAAACGAATGACAGTTCTTGAACATCGTGACCAAAAAGATCCTTATAATTAGTATACGACGTCATGACTCGCTCCTGGTCAGAAGTTTTTCTTTAGTACACATAGCGCATGGAGGAATGCTATGACACTGTAGGCGAGCACGCGTTTTTTTTTACATACGTCTTTCTGCACATCGCCGTACTGTCAAAAATAACATTCCAAAGTCGGCAGAACAAAATCGCGAGGGAGATAATATTTGCGCGAGAATTTTTGTCTCTGTGTCATATTGTGCCTCAGTATCATCCTGTCTGAAGACGAAGACTATCGACGAACAAACTGTTTACAAACAAGTTTGCCCACACCGGGTATGGGAACTGCGCGCGCGCAGAAACCATATGCGTTCAAGGCGAGGCGTCTGCGCATGCGCAGTGCCGACAGCAGCGCCACCGCAGTGGCCTGTCGTCAGAGACTCGAGTCGGTCTCTAGTTTTTTTCCTATCAAATCCTACCGCAGCCATCGCTTCGAGGCGATAGAGCCAATCAAGCTGTGCAAAACGAGCATCGTCATGGCACTCGTCGTGTTTTTTTCGTTCACTATCACCGGCTTAATCAATCACGCGCGGAGAAAAGCGCCGCATCACGCCGCGGTCACTGATTGGTTTAGCCAGCGATAGTAAACGCACTAAGACAACGAGCGCACGAGTGCCATGACGATGCCCTTTTTGGCGCTGCTCGATTTGGCTTCGTCGGATCGAACCGTCGACTGCGGTAGGATTTAATGCGAAACGGAGTATTCGAACGCTTAGAGTCACTAAATATGCGACGCTTCAGAGTAGCGACACTTCAGCTATATTGGCACTTAAAAATCACGGTTACCAGTTACCCGAACCTTTATCTGAAATCGGCAGGAAACTCTTATCCGTCCTCCGGAAACGTTAAATCAGCTCGCGACAAAGCGAAACAATATCATCACCTGTGCTTCTGGACGCTCTATCTATAAAGCTCATGAAGTCGCATTTTTGAATTGTGACGATCGACAGTTGCGTCAGCTCTGCACTGAGCACCGAAAATGGCGGCGGCGCCAACTAGCAGATGGGGGAACTGAGTGCCGATACCCTAGGCGTAGCTCAGTTAGTGGCTCTTAAGAACACCCTATCTGCTCTTTTCAGCGCGGCTGTCGCCAACTACTTGGGCTGGCGCATCGTCCAGATGATGGGAGACCACACGCTGGACCGCTTCAGGCGCGCCAGGTTTCGCTTTGATCGATACCGCTACCTGATTCAAGACATCGCTGACCTGCCGCGAGAATGCGTACGCCTGACCTCCAACCTCTTGTACTTCGCCGTGGGGAGACTCTATTTCGACCGACACATATCGAAACCTGTGGATCGTTACCGAAAGGTAGGCGGCTTCTCTTAATTACCATAGCCCAACGTATAGATCAACTCAGTTGCCAAACTCCCCCAAAAAAGTGATGATCCCGTCCTTCTCCTCTTCCTACCGCCCCTCTCCTTCCAAGGGCCATCATCCATCGTTCGAAGTGCCAGCTTGAGGCTGCGATCTTAAACCTTGTTCTTCGAAGATGCTAAAATACCTTAGTCTTAAAGGAGCGATGCAACAATTTTTGTACTTTGCGCAAATACCGCTTAAAACGGATCCCTAACGTTAATGACCTATGAAACACGCGTTCGTGTTTCATAGGTCATTAACATGGATATCCACGTTAATGACCTATGAAACGCCAACACCACTGGCACACGCAACGCCACTGGCATTGCGTGTGGGTATCCTGGGACTCGAGGATACACGCAATGCCAGTGGCGTTGCGTGTGGGTATCCTTGAGTCCCAGGTGTGCCAGTAAGCTCGTGTAGAGTGAAAAACATTCCAATTGAATATCGTTGCACCGGTCCTTTAATGGATTGGTGAACCTCCTGGAGTGGTGACAACTCTGTCGTCTGCTAGCATAGCCGCCACGTGGCCTCCCACTTGTGCAGCCTTTTATGAGTTTTCTTATGCAGTTATTGAGACTTACCACTTGGGAAACGACCCGGAGTAGCTTTAAGAAAGAGTATTGTTTTGTGCTTCGTCAAGAATGAGTTGGTTTTCGGTGCCGGTCAGGAGGCGGGAGGCATAATGGTGGCCGCGGTCAGGAAAATGCGGCACTTGACCTCCCAAAAGATGTCGCCCCCCTAGCAAGGCCCAGCCATCAAGCCACATGAAGACACTCTAGGAGACGTTAGAGTTCCTGTATATAAGCACCCGTAAGGAGTAGAGTTGCGGGTTGATTCATCTTAAATTTCAGTTTTTTGCAATTCTTTCCTTAAATTGCAGTAAATTAAAGTGCGGGAAAGCCACTCTTCACGCGTCAAGGAGCCATATGAAAGGAATACTGAGCCAAAATTTGGAGTTCACAAAACAAGGCTGGGGCGGTAGGTGGGACGCTGCAAAACCCACAACCATTACTCATACAGCGATATCTCTAACGGATGGCCGTATTTACAGAAAATAAGTGCGCCAGTGAGCACGGCCGACGAGGCCGACGAGACATTTCACGTAGCGATTCTCATTCCCTCTCCTCTTCGCTTCGTCCCTCGAGGTGGTGAACAGAAGCAAGGAGGAGAGAAGCGAGGCAGCCTCACCTCATCCTGAGCTGTTTCAAAAGGATCGTGATGCCTAATAGCGCCTTTTTTTTTTTCTTCAGAAATACGGCCATCCGTTTGAGATATTGATGTATGAGTGATGTTTTGGAGTTCGTAGCACCCCGTTCAACGCTTCTGCGGCCTTATTTCGGGAAATCCAAATTTCGGTTCAGCATCCCTTGAACTGTAGGCCGAGTGGATAGGACTACTCCCCTCGAGTTCGCGTATGGTGGTACACTCACGTTGTCGTTGTTCCGCGATTGTTCGCCGTGAGCCTGTGATGTCACACACGTCATGTCCACGTTTTCGTACTAAAGTGGACAGGACAGGCGCTAACTCACAACTGACGGTTGTGAGTTAGCGCCTGTCCTGTCCACTTCTTCGTCTGTCGTCGTCCTAGCGTTATTTTTTATTTAGTATGTATAACCAACTAGCACGCCAGAATATTTTAATCTACGTTTTCAATTGACCGCATGGTGAAAACGTACCAAATGGGTCAGAATCGGGTAAGACCTAGGCGGGCACTTGATCAGCGCCTGTCTTCTTGGTCGTCGCAATGCTCAGGCTAATAATGCATGGATTATATACCGCCTATGAATGAATGATATACAGCCTCATGTAAAACTAAAGAACATAAACACAGCTGACTAGTGGCTAGTTAAAGGCTAGCGGCTAACGGAGCTGTGGAGTGGCCGCAGTAGAGGCGTTTCTGCCCAGCAGTGAATTTTTGTTTGTCATGTGATTGAGTTCGACGAGCAGCCCCGCGGACACCAGTGGAAAACGGACGCGCAGCTCTCGCTCCCATACGGGGAGCAACTCTAGAAGACGTTGCAGTGGGGTGCCATTTAGACGCCGTACTTCAAAACGTGTATATAAAGTAGTGAAGACTCTCTAGATAGTTACCATAGCAGCCGTTCCCAGCACGGTGGTGCATTGAACGACGTTCGAGGGGAGGGGGGGGGGGTTCCTGCTAGTGGCGGTAACCCCCATCCCCTCTCCCTCTCCTAGTTCAAGGGCAGTTCCGTAACTAAGTTGAGCTTATAACGTTAACGAAGCCCTGAACTCTACCGAAGATAAAGAATGGTCATTCCAATGGAGGGTTTCTTTTTCTTCCAGTCTTAAAGAGGCCATGAAACGACCTTTCTATTTCCACTAAATACTACTCAGACTCACTCCAGAAGGTTAATAACGAAAAACAAAACAACAAAAAAACTTGCCTTAGTCTTTATTTATAAGCGATGGCTGTCGGCAAACAAATTCGAGAAATATGAGCAGTTCATCCCCTCAACTCGGAGCTAGAGCAAGCGACCACGTGGCCTGGTGCCTACCCTATGCCGTCAACGTTAATGATAGCCACACGCTGGTGTCGGCAAACTAAGAAACGCGCGCTGAGCTTCAGGAATTGTTACAGTTCGGCTATTCTAATAACCCCTGAAATAACGGTTACTGCTCAAGTGAGCTGGTAAACGATCACAATGAAAAAACAAAACGAAAAACCCTTGAGACTAGGAACGAAAAAGGGGGACGGTGTTGTGTTTGTTTCCCTCTTTTTTTTTGTTCCTAGATTCAATGTTGTTTTTTTTTTTTTTACTATGCTCATAACCACGGTAGTTGGACACGAGTCACTACACCCGAGTGTCCGCCGAGGCATTGATTATTATGAGCCACAGTTGAATGTTCACGCAGTTCTCGTGTCCAATTCATGAACCGCGCTCGACTGTCGTCACGCGGGTGGTTTTGATCCCACAATTACGTCATCAAGCCTGGCGAGGGTAAGACTGAAAGAAATAGTCCCCTTTTATTATAGCAATTTCACCGCGACCAAGAAGCTTCTGAATCAGTGGTGGTCCGTGCTAGTATACTTCGGCCAGGCTAGGGCTAGTACGCCTCTTTAAAGTCATAAACATTCCAACCCGATATCGCTTCATGACCCATATAAGGCCCATACACACACAGCCGCGTTTGGGAGCGTTTGAATGCGTTTGACTGCGTTGCGGCTGCGAGAAACCAGAACATCCCTTGTTCGTATGTGGCGTGCCAAGCTACTCATTGAGTTAGACTCCATGCTTCACGCGAAGCACAGATGTGTCGGTGCGTCGCTTCCGTTTCTATACGCAACGCAGTCAAACGCACTCAAACGCAAATGTGCGTTTGGGCCTTTAAGGCCCCCTACGGACAGCTGCGTTTGAGAGCGTTTCAGTGCGCTTGACTGCGCTGCGCTGAGAAACGAAAGCGAGTGTCAGTTGTTCCTGTGTCTCGCTCTAGTGGGGTCTAAAAAGCTCCCTATCACGATTGTTTTCATATGGCATATTTTTTAATATCTTATTCACTTTAGTGTCAAAATAGAGCTATCTCGCAAGCCAGTTTGACTACGCCAGCGCTACCGCAATGCGTCGAGGGAACTTTAGTCTTTCTGCAAGTGAGACAACATCGCTGGAGCTCTGCGCGAGTATAGAGCACGAGACGGCACGAGCCCTCTAGTGCGATTCGGTTTGTTTCCTGTGAACTAAAATACGGCGGCGTCACGCATGCGCCTAAAACTTAGTGATATTGGTCTATTGTAAACAAGAAGTGTAAGTTGTAACTCTAGATCACTTTGAACAGACGCCAATAGACGGAGCAGATCAGTTGTACTAGCTTGCGGCTGGTTTTGTAGTTAAGAAAGGCAGTCTACATTTGTCACAGCCTTAGTAAATAGAGTTCGTGGGTTTAAGAAAAAAAAAAAGAAAAAAAGGGGTAAACCACGATACCGTACAACAGTTTTCAATGCCTGGGACAAAGGGTGGTGAAGTAGTTCTTAAGAGGCTTGTAAGCTAAGTATGAACATTTAAAAGTGTGACTGAAATCATGACGACGTGTACAGTTATATATATGGTTTCTTTCTGCTACAAGGTGTACGATATGGGCGAGGAGCTTCGCGACGCATTTGCGGTCCTCATCGACATGAACACCTGGATGGACGAAGACACCAAGGAGAGGGCACGGCAAAAGGTGAAAAAGCAGAAGTGTTGTAAGTTGGGCGAGTTGGTATACGACGACATAGTGAACAGAATAGCGCACAGAGCAGCGCTTATGTGCTGTGCATGTTCCTTCTCTCTGTCCTTGTCTTTTTGTGCGCTGTTCTGCTCACTAGGTGAAAAAGCAGACCAAAATAGTGACCGCAGATTTTGACAGGCGCAGTATACACCAATACGCAACTATGAGGTGACGCAGCTGTTGTGGTGCTACTGTCAACGCAGCGCACGCGAAAACATACCACTTGACGGAGACCTGGTTCCTGCGCCAGCCCCAGTGCCCGCACGTACTGTGGGAAAATGCGGACCTGTTTGTCAACAGTCTGTTGGTCTATAGAGTGAAATTGATAAGCACACTTTGAGAATACGAAGAGAAACTGAGGAAAAACGATGAGAGCGTGAGCTGACCTTAGGGCGCCGAGCGCCGATTGATAGTGGATAAATGCAGAAGGCTAGCTGCATTTGTCTCTACTCATCGCCTCCCTCCAATTAGGGCGAGCAAGAGCGCCGTCTGCTTCTCGAGCGGTGTATAACGTGCTGACGTCAGCGCACGCTCGTATTTCCTCCTCTCCTTGAGTTTCCCTCCGTATCTAGTATTGGCACCCTCTTCTGCTGCTTTCTGCATAAAGATTGCCTGGGCGTCTGGGAAATATGTGATGGTGACGAGTTTTTGTATATATTTTAATTTAAGATCACTGACTAAGGGCGATGAAGGCTTACAATACTTTTCCCAAAATGTAAAGGTACCCTAACTTAAAAAAAAAAAAAGCTCGAGGTACACCTAAGCATTTCTTATGAGTTGTGAATGCGAAAGCATGCAAGCCGCTCGTCCACTCCCTTTGTCGTCTGCTTCGTACTAGCATGCGCTCTAAGGAATGCCTGCAGATCGCGGAGATTGGCTCTTTGAGTGTTTTGCGGGTAAGTAGTCGCGCAGGCATTTCTTAGAGTGCAGTAGCGCGCGCGCGCTTCGGGATCTCGGAGGCCATGGCGCAGCGGCCAATGGGAGCCCCGTCGACGCGCGCCAGCCAATGGAACCGAGGGAAACTAGCTGCCGTTTTCACGCTTCCAACTGATGACGTCAGCTCGCTCCATGAAACGGTCAATGCTTTCGCATTTAAAAACGAATGATACTTATTTGAAATGGCATTTCAAGTAAAATACATTTTGATTACAGCTTCATCACGTTCAAATGAACGTCGGCTTTCCTCCATGGATAAAAAGTGACCGGGACCTCGACGACTACTACAAAGAGGTGAGCGAACTTTGAGAATCTTTCAATCAGGAAAACAATTTTAGGAACTGACGCTCAGACCGATTATTCTTCAACTAAGCTATGTAAGGCTTGTAGAAAACGTAGCTAATGATTTTCGAATTTTTCGGTTCCGATTGCTTCATAAAAATTCCCAAAACAACGCTGTGTCCTATGTCTCCTAAATAATCCGTGACAAAACAACAACAACAGCGAAATTGTTTGGAAGGAGATGGAAGGAGGAAGGGGAGAAAGAAAGAAAGAAAGAAAGAAAGAAAGAAAGAAAGAGGGAGAGAGAGACTCGGGGAGAGAAAGAGACTGACAAAAATTCTCGTGTAGCGCTATAAAAGAGAAAATAACTGATTTTCCTTCGTTAACCGAATTGTCGATGCAGGTTCCAGATTTACGGAAGGAAGAATACTTCATCAGTCTTCTTCGAACCATGAAGGTTCACAACCGCATTATGTACGGGCGTCTGAGACGATACAAGAGAGCCGAAGATTTTGGGTACGACTTTTTATTTCCAGGAGCGCATGGAAAGGATGACATAAAATTATTCGCGCTTCTTTTCAGGTGGGTTCCCACGGGACTATCGAACACAATGTACTACAGTCTTTTAGGCAATTACTTGCGTGAGTAGTCTACTATGATACAATTATATAAAGTTTCAACGTATTTTTGTGTGAAGATAATTCCCGTTTATAATGTCGCTTTTCAGTGCTCCCGATTGACTACGTTCAGTTCCCGTTCTTTCTGATTGACATGCCTCCGTAAGTATTCTCGTCGAAATATTATCGATGGACCAATCTATATTTTTTATTTAATGCTTTAATTATTAAGAGAAAATTACTACTCGAATAAGTCTTGCCTCCCTTATAGTTATTAGCTGTACTAATGCTTTTTTTTTTTTTTGCGGTCGTACAGCCAATTCAATTGCTACCGCTCCAATTGTCTAAGTGCGTAAACAGCTTTCTCATTTGTTCAAATTCGTGAGCAATGCAGCAATTGATTTTTCTGGTTTATTTATACGTCAATTAGAGATATGTCTAGGCAAAAAAATGAAAGATGTTTCCAATTTTTTGTAATGCCAATTAGAGCGCCACTCTTGAGGACGAAGAGGGGATGGCGCAGAGGGGAGGGTATACCCCTCCTGCCCCTCTTATCCTCCCCTCCTCCTCTACTGGTCCCTTCACATTTAGCGCGAAATTTTCGCTGAATTTTTCCGCTAAATTTAGTGGCGAAACTTAACCCGCTACAGTTGGCGGGGAAACGTCCCATAATGCAACGCGCGGTTACGCCGACGGCGACGCCTCTCAACCCGGAAACGGGCGCCTAAGAGCTGCGCTCTAAAATAGGGTGTAGACGTGGCAGGAATGATGCCACAAAAGCCGAGAAGAAAATGATTAGTGATTACATAGGAAACCTGCCGAAAAGCATTAAATAAGTGAAAACCATCACAGGAACAAAGAAGGAATGCAGTTCATTTTATCTTGTTTTCAGAAATACAGAGGCTGAGGAAATATTTCAAGCATTTTCGGGTACTCAACCATAAATTTCACAGTTGATTTCTTGAAGAACAAAAGAGGCTAACACGCAACAAAATCTTTAAATGATATGCACTAACGGTGCGAGCTATACAATATATATATTGCTACATTACCCAAGCATCAAGGATAATACAAGGATTGGTGTTCCACGCGCCACACGCGCACGCCTTCCCCGTGTAAGAGGTTCGAAGTAAATAACCGAAATAAAGCGTTGACGAACGCGCATGCAAGATGCAATTTGTTTTATGCATTTGCTTTAGAAAAGTAACGACTGCTGAAGCCAGCACGTGCGGCGTATGGAACACCAATCCCTGCATTCTCCTTGATGCTTGGGTAATTTAGCAAAAGGTCTATTCAGCGTATACATGTAAGCACCGGGGCTGGCGCTTGAAGCGTATTTTGGCGACCTTTGTTTTTCTTTCTCAAATAGGCCAATCAACTTCGGCTCGCTGGGCTCCATCATGGGGCAGCATCTGACCTACGGCTTTGGAGAACAAGGTATCACTTAAGAGTATGACGAGCGTGTTGGCGTAGATCTATATAGAAAAGTAAAACGTATACAGACAAATACAGACGAAAAGCATAAAAGCCCGTCTATGGTCCGCACTCTTTTCAAACAGACAATATACAAACGTAAACTTTACAGTCATCTCAAAATGCCCAAAAGAACTGGCTGAAAAAGGCCATAGACTAGTACCATAACTATACCAATAAAGATTAGCTACGATGTTGCGTTGATATTTACTGAGAGCCGATCACAAATATAGAATTACGGTGCGATGTGAATCATACAGGAAGACTAGAGCATGCTAATAATTTTTTCATTTAATTTTATTTATTTACCTTAAGGACCCATTTCCGTATATTACACAAGGGAGGGAAAGACGACACTGTTTAAACACCGAAACCATCAAAGATAAAAGCACCTGGTATAAATATTAAATGGCGATAACAGGTTAACAAATCACTATACAAATTTATAACTCCTTCATTTGATCCAAGAAAAGAGTGAGAAGTTCCCAAAATTTAGAGGTGTTAAGATCTAGTACACTGTCGTTAGGTAATGATTTAAAATCTTCAATAGCAAAGAGGTAGCGTGGAATTTGCGAAAAACAAGGATGAAGTGTGGATGAATTCGATTTTACATATGTTGTCAACCCAAGCTGAAATTCGATCTTGGGGCGCTGAGAGGGGCCATTTTCGTCTACGGATTGTGGTAATACATTTTATGAAGAAGGGGAGGGGGGGGGGGGGGGGGGGGCGGAAGTCGAGAGAGCCTTCGACGAAAAGAAAATGTCAGGAGACCCAACCGATTACGAAGTGGTACTCCTTAGTGCTCTGTTTTGAATTTGTTCTAGTTCGCTAGAGATAATTTTAAAATGGTGACCAGATCGATGATGCGCATTCTAGTTGGGAAAAAACCAAGGTTGTGCGAGCTAGCCTTTTGATTTCGGGCGAACAGAGTTCGACATTACGTGTTAAGTATCCAAGTGCGCGATTAGCTTTGAGGACAACTTCGTCAGCGTGGTTATTCCATGTTAAATCGCTGGTGAGGTGAAGTCCTAGGTACTTATATGATGTGCATGACCAGTGTGATTGATATTTAGTTATAGATTGGTACCTACCATAGAAGTTGCAAATCAACCGAGAAATTAATGTTTGAAGACAAAGACTGCAGTTAAATGAGAGTCCCGCTGCTATTGACACAATAATTTAAGTGTTCGCCAAATGCATTTTTTTAAAATTAGTTTTAATATGCGACGGGTTTGTTTCCTCAAGGATAAGGTTACCGGCATAAGAAAATGTTGAAATTGAACTATTGAGAAGTACTGACGCTGCTTAGCGTTTTGTGTCATCCCACAGAGCGTCGATAACGTAACGTTAGAAAAAGTGGAACTCTAGGGCGTGGCGTGCCCATCGAACGACGCTTCGCAGGCGCGCTCTACGACGAGCGCGGGAAGCTGGTGGAGTGGTGGTCACGAGAGACGCACCGCAAGTTCATCACAGGCGCCCGCTGCCTCGCAGAGCAGTACGACCAGTTCAGCAACCCAATCACCGGCCAGAAGGTAAAGGCCGTGGCGGCCGCTCACAACCAACACCACCTACGGTTGGCGAAAGCTTAGGAAACGCAGGGCGCGACTTAGTACATTCACGTCTCGTGATTGGTGATTTGTTCTTCAGCGTCACTAGGAAGTAATTCGACCATCTCATTGGCTTCTGAGTTCTAACCTTGCGATCGCGACTCGCCGCACCCTGCGTTTGTTTTAAGTTATCAGGGACTATAGGACAATGCAGGCCTGTGCACTAGCATTGGTACGTCATCAAAGTGGGATCGAGCGCGGACAGATTGTACACGAATATTGCGCCAGCGTTCTGATCGGCCTGGTATTCAGTCAATGTGCCGAAGGACGCTCGGTGTCGGGTTAGGGAACAATGGATCTTTTTCTAGAAGGGTTCTGCCCATGCGCAGGACTTCCTCTCGCAGCGGCGAAAGCTCGAACTTTTGTTGGCGTCCGGGAGAACAGCCGCAGAGGAGACAGGAAAGGTATCGCAGCTCTCAACCCATACACCAACCGTAGTTTTAGCCACGTGGTGTCGTCTTTATCTGAAAAAAGTTAATTGACGATTTGCGAGCTGCGACGCGCCACCTATTGTACATTGGCAATCGCTTCGAAAATTTAGATTCGAGGCTGCAAAAATATCTGAAAAGCATAGGTTCTCTGATGCATAGAAGACTCGCCAGGAGCTTCCGAAATCGATTTGCCCATGACAAAACGTACACTGCGGGTTCGGCAGTGCTCATTCTGGCGCCATGGAGAGTAATCTGACTTCCCTTTCTTCAAGGCGGTTATCCAGGCTTTGGTTATTGTAGGCGACGTTGACCTGGAGCAATTTCGTTCCAGGAACTCGATTGTTTTGAATAAACTTCTTCGACGCATTATTTTAGAAGTAACGTCGACCAGAAACGACCAACTATTCTAGAAGTAACGACAACATTTGTTACCTGAAAATTGTGTCTGTCCAGTGCTTAATGAAGGCATTCTTAGCTAGAATAAGAGATATTACAAGACGACTGAGCCAGAATAATTACGAGGAAGGTAACCGCTTCACGATTACTTGTTGATAGTTTCTATAAATTGGTTCTCATTGCAGTTTTATAGGCTGCAGTCGATCGAATCTCGCAACGCCCTGTTGTGCATTAGCAATCAGGGACTAAGCTCTAGAAGTTGTCCGTGCGACTACTACTCTACTGAACTTCTGAAAAACCAGTCACCGCGGTGAACCGAGCGAGGTCAGCCTTATTTAAAGGGATGCTGAACCGAAATCTGGATTCCACAAAACACGGCGGCAAAGACGCGCAACGGGATGCTGCGAACACCAAAACATCACTCATACAGCGATATCTCAAACGGATGACCGTATTTTTCAAAAACAAAAAAAAAAAAAAAAAGAAAAAGGTGTCGCATTTGACAGATATGTTTACGCCTTGTTTTTCCGAGAAGGAGAGGGAAAGGCTACGCGTCTTCTCCGCCTTGCCGCCTTGAGGGGGCGAAGCGAAGAGAAGAGAAAACGAAATATCTTGAATTGACAGGCCTTGTCGGCCTCATTCAATCTCGGCCTGTTTTTCCAAAAATACGGCCGTCCATACAAGATATAACCTTACGAGTAGTGTTGTTGGGATTGTAGCGTCCCGCCTACAGCTCCTGCATTTTTTTTTTTTTTAACCCGAATTTTGGTTCACCATTCTTTTAAGAAGTGCCGCGGATGTTGGGGGATTGAGCAAGCAGAACGTCCTGATCACCATCGCATATGCTATTTTGTTAGTGAAAGCCATTATTTGCGTTGTCCATTTTGGTCGTTCTCTTCAACAGATCGCAGTAATCGATTTGTGGAGAGATTTATAGAAACCGACGTTAAACCATTATATTGAGTGTAGAATAAATAGTATTTCAGGCAGAACCTTTGAATGGGATACTCTACAAAGAAATGTACATGCAAGTTTTTTCCACACAAAGTATTCGGAAATTTACCACTGCAGTCTACTGAATAGGCTCGTCAAAAAACTAGACTTCAAGACTATTTTCAGTGAAACCAAAGTATCCGCTTTTACAATGATCCTTACGTTTTGCATGCGCACGTCATGTCCATTGTTACAGCGGAGGCTGGATCTTTAAATATAAACGCATATCTCTCTCGTCGTCACTCGTCAAATTTAATTCGCGTATTTCGTTGATTGCAACATCTAACTATAGTAGTGTCATCGAAGGCATATTCACGGTGATTACCTTAAATGAACTGCAATAATCATATGTGGTTTCATGTGCAGCGTTGTACATTTTGACTTCTAATTATAGACAAGCTGACTAGTTGGACATATTGTAGTGAATATCAGGACTTCAATTATAACAACTGCGATACAAACTCTTGCCCTGTTAAAACAAGCAAAAAAAACAACAACATTGTTTTACGTGCTTTAAATGAATCAGTTTACGGGGACTTATAAAAATAAACATACTTCCGAATTTTATTGACGAATCGTTTTGTTCAAACTTCAGCTGAGCATCAACGCCACCCTCGAAACCAGTGTTGCCGACAACGCGGGTCTACGCCAAGCGTTCAAGGTGTGGTCATTATACTTTCTTTCTGAAAATTAGGTTTTGATTTGCTCGATGTCGTAAATTTGTTGTATTTTTTTATCCTTAAAGGCATACCGCGTCTACATGACGAAGTATGAGGAGAGGTACGGTCTCTATAGTGTACCCGGAATGGAGCCTTGGACAATGGAGCAAATTTTCTTTATCGCTTATGCCATGGTGAGTGCTCAATTTTGAGTGCAAACATCTGGCGATCTTCTACCTTGGTATTTTTAGATGGAAACAACATCTCAGCATTTTGTACAGCATGCAATGCCTTTTAACTGAACCCTGTGCTCCCAGAAATTTGTCCTGCCGTAATGCCTCATTCACACTGACGGTTGAACTGCAACAGCGAAGCGGCTGCGAACGTGGTTGCTTAAAGATTCAGTGCAGTTTCACGCGCAGATGACGATGCAAACGAGCCGATCCGCTTCGCGGTTACGATTAGAAAGCAGGTGTGAATGCAACATAAGTGCGTTTCCTCGCTAAATGTTGAAGTGAGATTGAGGTCACGAGAAGTCACAGGATCACGTGATACCACGACTTGAAACTATGACAACGCGTAACCTTGTTGCGTGATGTCGTCACGTAATGACGTGTGACATCAGGTGACGTGAGGCCCATTCAGTCGCTCGATTTATTGAAGAAATAAATAAACAATATGTTCTTCACTCCCCGTAAAGACATTCTAATGTCGAGTAAACAGATTCGAACGATCGCTTATTAAATGCCGCATTGCCTTATTGAACTTTGTCGATAATGGTCGCTGTCAATTTGCGATGTCCACAAAGAAAAAGGCAGGAAACTGTTTCTTAAACGTTTGATGGCACTTTGAATAGAGAGCGAGACAAGCGGTGTGAACAGTTGGTGTAGATCGGAACTGCAATATGCAACGCTGGTTGACTTTGTTTATGAACGTAGAAATGAAAGCGCGGCTTAATTGTCCACTAATCTGACTAATATTAACTAGGGCTACGCGTCGAATAAAATTTGTAACCAAACTAATCGCCATCCTTTAATCGAATAATTAATCGATTAATCGGTCTCGTTCATTCCCGTGCATAATATTAAAAAAATATCAAAAATAAATTTGTTTTGTATTTGCTGAATATGGGATAAACGGCGCAATATAGAATTTTGATTATGAATCGACTTCGATGTGTGGTTGAGAAGAGTTCAAAGGACACTGACACTGACAGAGGTTCGTTGATGCATTCCGGCAAGAGCGACCTCGTTTGATTGTTCACAATAGTCTCTGCTGAACTAAACGGACTCTCGCACGGTATCGAAGTGGCCGGGACACGAGCAACCTTCGGCACTCGTCTGGAGTTACAAATATCGACCCTACAGTGTAACGTAGGTTAAAAGTTTTGCCTAAAGTTTGCCCTTTTTACAGGTTTACCCATTCATGTCTGCACAGTGAAGGCATTTTTTATACTTTCTTTTGCTTCGTCAAACGTTTACCGATTAACCGGTTAAAAAACTAATAGCGATTACATCATTATTCGATTAATTGATAGGTCAACTTATCAATTGCCCAACTCCAGTCTTCACTCATACCATATTTATATTTATTTTTCAGTCAAAATGTGAGGTTGCAAGGAAACGGTCCATGTTCTTTTACCTGCGCCCTCGGGACCAGATACCAAGTCGGTTCAGGTATGTACCATCCGTCGAAGCAGAAATATTTTACCAGGTTTAATGACATGCCTACGCAGTGCCCTACGTCATAGTTGCGTGAACGTTTATATTTAGTGGTGAGTGAAGTTTTTTTATTATTTACTTCTCGCTAGTATAGACTGAATCTAAAGGAAAAGACAGACGAACTCTTCCAAGAATGACACAAAAGAGTGAGGAAAACAAAAGAGGTTGAACAAGACTAACATTTACTGTCTTGTGCGATATAGTAATTCATTTGTTTGGTCTTTGGTCAGCACAAGCTTTTCATGGCAAATGCAAAAAAAAAAAAAGAAAAGAAAAGAAAGCAGAGTTCATAATTATAACAGACTGCATTTTTAATACGAGGCTTGTATGCATAGTTCTCCATAGGTTTTAAACAAACTATCTACGTTAATTAGATAAAGAAATTTAGTCTTCTGAAATGAACCTTCACCCGACAATGCACCGGGCACCATGTTTTAATCACGAATTCCACCACTACCATTCCTTGCATCTGCTGTGATTTGCGTCACAGTCTGTGTTGTCAAAGTTTATTTTTGAGTAAGACGCCGACAGTAATCGCCGAGTGGCAGGTGACGCAGGACATTATGAAGGTCAATACGCAGCCAAACCCTAGAAAAAAAATATTGTATAATTTATACTGGATTATGGAACAGAAAAATCTAACTGGATTTTTTGCTGGAAACCTGAAATCTAGGTTTTTTCGGTAGGGAAGGGACATACTGTGCTGGCTTTACTCCTGTACAGGTCGTTAAAATAGTTTCCCTTGAAACTAATAACGTTAAAAGAAAATACACGTTCGAGGTTTCGCGTACGCAGAAAACAGTAACATTAAAACAAAAGTCAATAAGTGCTAAAACAATCTATAGAAAAAAATAAGCAAGGTCACCACAGTGTGTGACGGGCTGGGAATGCATTACAAGCTCTGCCGGGTTTTGACTGCTGCAAAAAGACAAAATGTTATATTAGAGGAAGAAAGCTCACACTAGAGCCGAAGCATCTATACACGTTGTCCCACCAACAAAAAAATAAAATAAGTTTTGCGCATTGTCCATGTGCAGCGCGAGGAAGTGGTTGTCGAGGGAAGACAACGCTTTTGGCGCATGAAACGTTTACGTCTTGATAAAATAACATAAAGTGTATCTCTGAGGCACCTACTACATATAATTTAATTCGACACATGAAGAGCGAAATATGTAACGTCCAAACAGGAGCCAAAGTTTCTTTTTACTGCGGTTCTTAGGCCAACCATAGAGTTTTATTGAATATCATGTAACAAAACGCACACGTCGAATCGACTCGCAGGACCATCATCCCCTTGATGAACTTCGAAAGGTTCGCGGAAGCGTTCAGCTGCAAACCTGGCACCATCATGAACCCGGAGCAGAAGTGCATTGTCTGGTGAACGACGCCTGGCCTTTTGTCGCGCGATAGGAGGCGTAATAAATGTGAATTTTCATTTCTGGACTCCTTTCTGAACCATGTGCACTGATGTATGCGGCAAGTCACATATGTTGGAAAACGAATTTTCCACGACTGTTACCTGCGAGCCCAAGCCACCCTTTGCATAAATATTTCTTATCGTGGAAGTTTGCGGCTAGCTTGCTTATCGCAATGTGTCTTCCTTCGAAAGTAAGTATGGCAAATTTGAAAGAACTAAGTTTCGTTTTGAATGGGACGAACCATTGTGTTTAGATAAATGCCGTTGTTGGGAATATATAAAAGCATTGTAAATGCGTATTAGGAACTTAACTGCGCGTCTTGTTGGTACCAAATAGCTTCGCAAGACGTTTTCATCCAGTAGGAAGGATCGGCGTGTGGAGAACCAACATCTCCTAGAAAGAAGGCCGTAGCGCTCCGAGTGGTTACGTCACAGTGTCGGAGAGGGAAGGCCATGGCGCAACTACGTGAGTAAATATCTGGTATCGACGTGAAAAATATGTTTCTTGTAGAGCGGCGCCGTGGTGTTCGTGCGCATTTATCCAACATACGTTTTTGAAAGCGCAGTCTTGTAAAACTTATTGTATTTATGATATAAACGTAATGTACAACGTGTTACCAAGGTTGAAGGTACCAAATTTATATTTATTATAGTCTAATAGTCCGACAATGGTTCTTTGGGCTGTTGATAACGCTGGCGGAACCGATGACGCTCCAGGTCCATGCATGTTGCACGACTTTTCATAGTGCGCGCTGAGGGTGTCGACAGCCTCCAATTAACAGACGTCTCTCTTCGGGGTTCTAGAAGCGGCTGCCGCTGACGTCGTTTCTGGCGACGGCGCAGCGACAGCGCAGGATGAGGGCAATGCGTCGAAGACCGGTTAAGCCTCCACTCCCAGGCATTGGCGCAGCAGGTATCGACGACATTCTGAGGGCGGTGCGTGAGCACCACATGCCCCATGAAATATTCGAAGAGCGGAATCCATCACTCTCAGGGAATTTCCGACTTCCCTGGTTTACTCAAAACGTCTTGAGGAGGTTTGCTGCCGAATCCGCCGTGCATCCCGCCGTCAAAAGAATGTAGAGTCCTAGCTGGACCCGGCGGGCCGAAAAGGAACGTCCAGTGACCTGTGCTGCTCTCATGAGACTCTTTATTCAAAAATGATGATGATGAAGAAGAAGTAACTGAATGAACACATAGCAAATAAGACGAAGTTATCCGAATATATGAAAATATAATAATGAAGACACAACACCCCCAACGGGTACATGCAGTACACGTGGCAATTGACAGCTTAAGAAACGTTGGGCGTGACTCGTTATCTTCTTGGTTTGTGACTGGTTCTCCGGCGGTCGTGTTGGATAATGTCGCATTATCATTGTCTGTGAAGGATTACGAGACGCTCATCACCAGGGTGTAAGATAGACAGGTGGGGAAACGAGAGCCAAATGAGCCACCGGATTGTGTACCCCTCGGTTTTCTCTTTTTCTTTTAACGCCACCTATGTGGAGCACCGCGAACTCTCACTCCAGGTGGGCGACCGGTGGAGAACCGGCTAAACTGACGGAGATGGTCTCTCGTGGATTTTTAATAGAGAACTGTCGTGCTCTCGGTTTATTTTGCGCACTCTCCCATTAATTTCCATGCAAATCCAATTCCGATTTTTTTCCTCTCGCCGCAGCGCCATCTGTCGCAAATCGGTGGTACCCGCAAGCAGACGAGTACACAATCCGGTCACGGCGCTGCGGTAGGTTTCTATGGACCGTTTCCCCACCTTCCTATCTTACACCTTGCTCATGACTCGCCATGCGTTTCTTGAGAGCGAGCTCAAGAAACGTCGTGTTGCAAATTTTTCAATTTAAAGAAAAGACCTCCAGGAAGGGCATTACTGTTTGCGGGAAAAGATTTCCGAAATTTCTAATGGCTTAGGGAATCTCGTATGGAAGATTTCTTCTCGCGTGTTTTGAGAATATTGTACTCATAGAAAAATTATCATATCATAATGCATAGACTTCTATCACACTGTACACATGTGTGAAATCTTTTCAAAATATTTGCATTTGGCTTTTTATAACAACAACATATTTAAGACACCTGAAACTTTTTTCAGATTGAGCAACAGCTTTCACTTATTTTATTAGTGATATGCGCGATTTTGGAAACTGGTGCCATTTGCAACCAAGCGGTACCACTTGAAGCTCATGTGGTACCATTCACAACCCAAGCGGTACCACTTGAGGCCCAAGTGGCACCACTTAAAGCTCAAATTGTACCACTTGGTGTGCAAGTGGCTCCTTTTGACTTGCAAGTGGTACCACTTGAAAGCAAGAGGTACCACATGAAATACCACTTCATATTTTCACCTGGGTTGCTGGCCAGATGAAACTTGAATCGAAGTTCAGCAATGATGTCCCCATAACGATTCTCATGGCAGTTGGCCGTCAACGCTACCTCTGTAAATGGTTAATGCAAACAAATGGAACTGACGGTGAGTTACGAGAATGGCTTGATATGAAATCGATGGCTTTCTAAACCGCAAATACCAAGGATGTTTGTGTCATCGTTCATTCTACCTAAACAGCAAGAAGATGAATCTCATTCACTCGGGGTATTAAGATACATACCTATCTTAGACCGTGCTGTCAAGGCTTCATTCATGTTTTTTTTTTGTACCACAAAAGTGGAAAAAAAAAAAAAAAAAAACTCAAATGACAATTGCCTGAGTGCTCATTCACACAAGACTGTTTGCTTAAATTTCATTATGAGTCACCCGAAGATTCGTGCTTTAAATTTTGCTTGCAAAACCACTCCTTTTTTATATTTGTTTTAACGCTTTGTAAGTAGGAAGCGAAGCAATTTGAATAAAAAGCACTGAAATGTAATTCTTGTTCAGAAACAGCCGTTCATCCAAGCATTCGTCGTGCCGAACCAAGTTCAGTCGAAGCAACCTGATCGGCTGCAAGGCGACGAGCAATACGCGGAGAACAGTGAAATTCACACCTCACAAAGCTCGCTTCCTGCAGAGGGCTTGGAATTTTTTCATTTTATTTTGGTAAGCCGAACAACTCCTCCACTTCACTTTAGCGTTCTTTCCTGAAGGGAAGCGGAAGAGTCTTTTGCCGTTCTCTGACCAGCTTCGGCCCCCAAGGCTCAGCAAGCAGGTAAACGGGAGTGGTAAAATACGGAACGTTAAGACGTGATTCCATTAAAATACGTGCGCCTTCAACGCTAAAGGGCTGAGAAGCGACCCGGAGCGTTGCAGCAGAAGCTGGCTGGACCCAATATGGTGGCTCATGGCGGTGAAAAGTGATAATGATAGTTATGGCACACGTTTCACGTGACTGCTGCCGTCCAGTAATGCCACTGGAAATCAAAACACACAAGGCTGGAGTGGGACTGTTGTCGGCAAAGCATTAAGAGAATGGGAACGTGGTACTTAGAGCCACTAAATAAGCGTAGCTTATTTAGTGGCACTAGTGGTACTCTGGCGGAGCATTCAGTGACACTAGCTGCGACAGGTTAACTTCCTTGGCCATGGCCACCGTTCTTACTTTTATTGGCAGAATCTGACAGTGAAAATATATGCATAATTCAAGACATGCATCACTTAAGCAATTCAAATAAATGATTGAACCCCGCCAGTACAATCTACTTGCCAATAACTCGTGTATATAGATAATTACATTGTATCCGAAGACGACGAGGAAGACGGCCGTGCAGTGGTTGACTTGCGCACGTGGCATGTAGAACCCGTCGCTTGTTCACAGCGGCCCTTGAAAATGCGATAAGGAGTCATGATTCCGTTCACCCGGGTAAGTAGCCTCTATTTCGCGCAACCTCAACGAGAGACTTTATGAGTTTAAGTTACTGATGTTTTATAGTTAAAATTAGGTCGCCAATAACAGTTCACTAGCGGTGAGTTAATTGGCTAACTGCATGAGGGCGATTGCGGCCATTGGGGTGCTTAGTGTGTGTGGCCAATGCTAGGCGAGCACTAGGAAATATTATAAAAATACATAACAAGAGCAGTGTGGGATGATATAGCATTCCAAACGACAATGCAAGAAATAATTTCAGAGGATTAAATTGCCACTGAATTGTATTAATAACTAGGAGGTCTATTTCTCTCAGTGCGTATTTGTGTATAGTTACACGATTTGTTTTTATTTCCCTGTTTCATAATATGACAATGCGCGCGAATGACGATGTGAATTAAGTCGTTTCTCATGTCTGTTTCCAACAGAAAGCATTCAGTTGAAAGTCATACTTTCTATACATCATATAACGTGCTGAACACCCCGCAAGCAGAATATATTTTCTCTCAGTCTTTTTCACGCATTACCTATCACTCTATGCACAGTTCTAGCGCTTACTACCTAATCACTGGGCGCAAGCTAAATACACTGTATCCACCCAGTAGACGACGATGACATCGCTCAGAAGGCGATTTTTGCAATAGTTTATATTAGGCCGCTTTAACTGACCACCATCAACGTGCGTTTGCACGTTGATGGTAGTCAATTGCACTGGTTAACCTAGAGTTATTATAGGGGATCAATTAAATTGGGTAAACTAGAGTTATTAAAAAGTAAGAGACAGAAACCCAAGACTCTTCTTGATTGCACCCTTTTTTACAAAATGTACGTTGCATTAGAGAAGCATGCCCTTGAGGAACTATTCCAGGAAAGCGCTTTGGGTGAAACTAAAGTCATTAGATCCTGGGAAAGTTGCGCCATTGCCTTTCCTGCCGGCCAGCTGGAAACATGCAGATACTGACACACAAACGACCAAAACCTTGAAAGGTGACTGACTGATCGGTCCTTGTTTCCATAGCAATCATTATTTCGGTACTTTCAATCCTTCGAGGTTCGAAAGGGTCGTCCTCTAACAGCCGTGCCAATATCGCTTTGGAGCGTCATTGTACTAAAAGCGTTCCTTACCGATATGAGTATCCTAGGCAGTGTGTACACAATCCACTTACCAAAAAACGCTTACGCAAATCTTTTACATTAATCTTTTTCTCCTTGCGTATTTCAAGACAGGAAAATTATTTTTGAGTGTTGCCAAGCACCGACGCCGCATGTGGTGGCGGTGCGAGAATGTGCGCTTATTCTGCCGGCATGTAGGCAGCAACATATCGCTATACAAGAAATGTATCTATACAGAAAGCTGTCACCTTAAATTAGGATCA